TCGCGCGAGGGACTTCACCTTTTGTATCCAATATCATGATGTGGATGCACACCCTTGCCCCGGTCATGTTTGCTCGAGATCCCTCCCAAAAGAGAGAGCTCACATCCTCCACCACAGAATCTACCCCGGCCAGGACTCGGTTGCAGAGGGTTGCAAATGAAGTTGGTAGTGGGGATCATCAAGAAGGGTGTTGGATCCTTTTCTTCTGCGATGCGCTCGACTAGGCTCGCCCTGGCCTAGACGGATGGAGTCCCGCGAGCCAGTGGGATGGGATTTGCACCCATCTCAAGACATGCGGAACCTCGACCCGGAAGGCGAACTAGACGCAGGTTGGTTGATGATTGCGAGCCATCGGCCTTGTGGCCGTCCCCCTCTGCTGGCACCCCATGTCCGTCTCCCGGGAAAGGCTTCCGGGTAATGTTCCGCCGCGGCGGGTGAGACCGCATCCCTGCACGGCGAGGGCCCGTGAGGAATGAGCATCACTTCTCCTTTCCAGCCCGCAAGGGAAAAAAGAATGACATCTGGCGCTGAGGAGCGATGACCCGCGGCCAAGGCCTGGTCTTTAGTGTCGCTATTGCTTGCGTTCGCAAATCAAAAGTCTACGACTCACCGGAGGATGCACGGAGCCTATGTCGGCAGTCTTCCTGGCCACGTCTCACTGCTCAGGAGGAGAGCTGCAACGCTGGTCTGACCACCGAACAACGCACTTGTTGATCTTTTGGGTCTTACCGCTGCCTGTTTGGTTAGAGAAAGGAGCACAGCAGATACAGCGTCCTGTTCAGATTTCTTTGTGGGTAGAAAACTTTTTTCTCTGCGCCAGAGAAAAAACAAAACAACAATAACAATAACCACAGCTGAGGCGCTGCAGTGTCTGAGATGTTTCCACTTAGTAGATCGAACGTAGGGAGAAGGTGAGCACACAGAACTGACAGAGTTTTTTCTTGGGACTCGGGAGGGGGCATCAGCTTCACATTTGCACATTTCGCACACTAGGTCAGTCGAGACATTGGCGCATCGGGGCTTCCTGAAAGTGCCTCGAAGAAGTGCGAGGCGTGGAGTGAGTCTCCCACCCCTCGTGTTGGTGAAGAAAGGAAGGGAGACGAGCTCATGCAGTTGGTCGTCATTTTGGCGCTGCTGCGGCCTCGCAATGTTTCCCCTCCTTGTTGAGAAAAGAACCTACTTAAGCGAAAGCTCGATGCAGCAGTCCAATCCCAGAAGAGTTACATAACAATAACCGGTGCATTCCCAGAGGTCTGGCTGACCCCCGGCCAGGAGGATCCTCACATAACATCCAGATTGCAGAAGAAAAAGCAATTATCCAGGAGATCCGAGTGTCCCCCCAGAGGTTGAAGGGCCCCCCAACAAGCAAAGAGAACTGCGAGGCTCAGACAATGATGCCAGGTTTCGTATACAATGAGGCGTTCACGGACGCGTGCGATGGAAAATCGGTGGGAGCTGAGCTCGTGGTATGGCGCGCGCCTCACGTTATCCATCATTCTCTTTTTCCCGCTTTGCTTTTTTTTCTCTTCCTCACAGATCTACTTCCCCGATACCCCTGCTCTTTGGGTGAAGCCTCCAAGATCCGGCAGGATCCCTTTTCGATCTGCGTTCAGGTGCCGAGGGATAACCCCTTGCCCCCTGCCATGCATATGTGGTTGATGTGTGTAACAATAGATGCTGGACGAAAACAAGATCGGGCGATTGGAACTTATCAAAAGCAAGAAATCGGAGACTCGTGATGCACCCTCCCGTGGTTTGAGATCATGTAAGTGCCCGCGAGTCCTTTTGCGAGTGCGAGGATGATGGACCAACTGTTGTTGGTGTATTGCCGCTCAGACCATCATCGGCATTTAAGATGTGTGTGACTGAGTGGTCATGAGCGACTGTGAATAATTTCTATCAGATGTGATTCAATTGTGCTTTCTTTTTGACAGATGCCCCCGCATGTTCTTGTGGGACTCTGGAATAACTTGTCATCCCTGGCACAGAGATCGGGAATCTCTCGCTTTGACTTTGCGCAATCGCTTACCCTCCCCATTCCGTGGTAGTGGTTCCTCTTGTGAGACACATGAGTGATCGCTGGACAGGATTTTTTCCATCCTCTGATGAGATAACTAGGTATGAGCCCGCGAAACCCAAGGGAGGGCCGCGTCAAGGGTTCCGGTAGTGCTGGGCGACGGGGAACAGCATTCCGTCTGAGACTTTGCTTCCCGAATCGTCTCCAATAGCTCGATTCAGGCATGAGAAAATCGCCTGAAAAAATGATGCCCGATCTCGGTTGCCCTTTGTTGATCTCGTATTTTGACACACAGCTTCCAAATTCTTGGGAAAGGGATGACGCCTGTCTTGTTCGATGACATACTGTCAAGGTTCCGATTCCATGGTTTGCGATTTTGATTTCCACTGACGGGCGGCTGCAGATTACTCGATTTGAATTTTCCGAAAGCATATCGTCGGTGGTTGATGCAAGGGACCGGATCATGACGGGGAGCCGCAGCCGCCCTCCCGTCGTCCGGTAGATACTCGACCACGGGACGGCAGCGCCCGAGTGGACTATGATTCTTGGCCGAATATATCATTGATGTCTCTATATGAGAATTTGGGTAATGAGAGTAGCTAAAATGATTGCGATTCTTTTGCCCGCGTGTAGCCATCGTCCTCAAACCACACAAATGTGAGACAAATAAGAAATTGCAAACCCTACAGAGCGCACAACCCAACTTGATCAGATTGATAATAACATGATCTCACGCCCATCGATGATCAAGAACATCAAGAGTCTCTTCCTCTCGCTTCACTAGTGTCACCAGAATTGCTTACACATTCCATGTAGATGACGCACAAAGTCCAAATATCAATAGTAATGTTATGCAACACGGTGAATGAGTAGAACAACACGTTCAAGCGACGCGTTGGGCCTTCTAAAGTCTTCGAAACTTCGAAGGTCTTCGAAAACAATAGATGCTGAGAGTGCCTTATGGCATTGATCATGGATTATCAGGTCTGGAAGGCCCATGATCTCAAGTTGATACTTGGTGTTTCCTTTCAAGTATCTTCGTGTTTCATCGATTAACATTGCCTAGTTCCTTTCATGCTTGAACAATGGTTATATGTTCTAGTACCCTCCTAGAGGGCTTGGAGCTGTCTCTTTGTCGTGATGATCCACCGACATTCCCTTCTTACTGTGAGTGAGGCAATAAGGAAAACTTCAATTGCCCTTATGACCCAAAGCTTGAAGATTGGAGGAGCTCGAAGATCGTCTTGATATACCTATGCTGAAATCCCATTAGAACTCAGGAGTGGCCCACCGAATCTAAAGGAACATGAAGCTTCGTAAACTTCTTTCGGGTGAGCCTATCCCTTTTCTATGATGGAGACTTAAGGCAGGCGACTTTATTCTTCATTTCAGTTTTCGGGTCCCCTTGAGTTTGCAAGACAATTCAGTGGAGATTCTTAAGGGCCATTGGGAAGTTGATTTAAGCACACGATCCGTGAGTGATGTTGTTCGACTGTAAGTGGTTTCTCGATACTTCAAGTCTTTCCGTCTCGTATCTGGGAGCACATCTTGAGCCTGCCGAGTTCAGACAGAAGGTTAGACTGATAAGCTAGCGTTCCGAACGGCCTGAACTCGCAAGTAAGACCATTACAGGGCTTTGAGAGAAGACCTTTTGGTCAGACGTGGAAGTCTTCGTCGCTTCAAGTGCGTTCTCCTAACTCCCTAAGGATTCGGCCCATTCTACAAGACTGGGACTTGTGTGGGTAAAAGAAGTCGGTAGAAGGGGGAGCTTCAGTGGGTTCTTGACAGAATTCTTTTCTCCTTCCACTTCTCCTCATTTTAATCGTAGCGCAGCAATAAGCCGATACATCCCACAGCCTCAACATCGTGAGTACTTCGATCTGATGAAAATTGTGACTTATAACCTCCCAGAGCTTCACAACCGCTGCCTTCCGTATAGTCCTCAACTATCTCTCTGAGCTACGAAGAACAAAGCGATCCCCCGACTAAGGCACTGTCTGTTAGCAAGCTTTGAAATCCTCTTGCGCCTTCCATCAATTTCGGGCAACCCTCTTTCCTATCTTAATTACCGGGTGAGGTCGACATCACGTAGGCTGTTGGACTATTCTGCTCTTTTTGACCTTCACCTTCACCTTCATTGCGAACCTCCAGACTGGAATCTTTCCTGTAATTCCTCAAAGAAGCTGGACCTTTGACCAACGTTATGAAGGCCCCATGTATTTAGAATTGGATAAGAATTCACTCAATGCCTCTGACGCCAGGCCTTCGCTATCTCTAGAGACAATTTCACAAACCTGTCATCCGACCTCAGAATTCTTGGGATCATGATAATTCTGCTGTAACGTAGGCATATGCCCCAGGCAACTCGCTGTTTTTAGACCACCATCTTCAAGGCCCCCAGCCTTTTGATATCCTTTACATTTCAACTTCACCTTTCGTCCTTGTCCAGGCAGTCCATCCACCTTTTAACTATCGTCACGTGCCTGCCGACCTCCCGACCGCACAACGACCTGCACCTTTCTTCCCACCTCCGTACGTGCCTCCTTCTACCTGCCTGCTGCCCCAAACCGCCCTCGAACCGCCCATCCTCCCATCTTCCATCATAAAACTTCCCCCTCCATCCCGAAATCAAGTCGATTCCTCTTCTTCCTTCATCCAACTCAAGGACAACCAATATCTCGCCTGAAACAATTACCTTGCTTCTTCCTTTGCTCATCCAGTCTTTGAACTCTGTCACCAATCAGATCAGAAGACTGTCTGTTATCTTGCCGAGCAAATCGTCATCAACAAACTGCACGCGGAACCTACAACTATCACTTTTGCCGTTCAAGACACATACCTTCGCTAAGTCGGTCCTTAGTAAGTCTCCCCAACTAGAAAGCAAATATCTTCCCTGTACAGTTCCTGGCTAACCATACTCGCAGCAACCAACCTACCTTACTTACCGTCAAGAAAGGTCCCCGTCCAATTTGTCAACTTCACAATGGCTGGTTTCGATCTTCTTACTGGATCTCCTGAGCACGCTGCTGCTTATCAGGCTTTGATCAATGCTTCCTACAATATTCGAACGCATACCAATACCGCTGGAGGCAATGAAGATCAAGCTATTTTTCCCAGTTCTGTCTATTGCCCTGGTACTGCCCGGAACGCTCAGCAGAACATCAACAACCATCAGAATGGCAGCAACAACTTCAACCACAAGTTGGACACGGATCCTGCGACTCAAGCGACTTTGCTCCAAGGCATGGCCCGGATTGATCTCACTCATATCAATGCCATTGGACCAGATAGCCTTCGCACCATTGTTGGAAACGCCCATGTTCACCCGCGAGTTGGCTCATCTTCTAGTCATGGCTCTTCAAGCACCGACCGGCTCTCCGTCTCGTCCGGTACCCGTCAAATTCCAGCTTACTACTACAAGGCCACCGACTATCAATCTTCTGAGAAGACGGGAAACGATAAGGGTAAGGGCAGCGAGAAGACAAACTCCTCTCCTCCCACCACTATTTCCCCCGATTCCACTTCTGCAAACGACGGCAGCTCCAACGCCAAGACTCAAGGCCAGAAGCTCAATGCACCAGATAGAACTCCTGACAGAGTCCCTGGTTGGGGTTTACCTCGTTTCCGCGGCCAAGTCTTGCCTGTTCGGGAGCCCGTGAATGCTGATTCACAAAGCAACTTCCCAGGCGGACCTTGTGCGAATTTGAGCGGTCAGGTGCAGCCACAGTCGCAGCAGTCTGGCTCCGCGCCAAGCCTAAATCGAGATTTCATCCCTCAGCCAGGTGTTGGGATGCCTTCAACCCACCGCAATGGCACAAAGCCTCTCAATAGCCAAGCTCCCATCGGAACAGGTCGTTGGGGCCATCATCCCCTGCGGGAGTTGCTCACTCCTCAAGCCACGTCTGTCTGGTCTCAGCAGAACCCTCGGCCTGCGGTTGCTCAGAAGGGCTTCCAATCTTACGCCCCGGTTGGCGAGTTTCGACCAATGAACGCCATCACTCGAACCTTCCTCCGCCCCGAGTGCGACCCCCAGAAGGATCTCAAAATGGCCCAGGGTGTCTCGGCTAACTACAAGGGCGATGCTTTGAACCCGCGCAACCTTTCGGATGACATTCCAGAGTGCAAGAATGTCTCCTTTTTCTTGACCAACCTCCCAGCGGACGTCACCTACAGCCAGCTTCTAGGTCAAATTCGCGGTATGGGACGCGTCTGGGCAACTGTGATCAATCCTCCTGATGGTCATGAGCATTTCACCTCGGCCGCCAAGTTGGTGTTCTTCGAACTGGCTGCGGCTCAGCGCTTCTATGCCCACTGTAGAAACCCGGCCCGTCGTCTCATCATCAGCAGCTACGCGGTCAAAATTGTTCGCAACCGGGTTCGAAAGGCAGAGGAAGACGTTGGCGGCTATCACTCTCGTGTTCTGGTTGTCACGGGCGAGTTATCCTTTGTCAATAAGGACACTCTGCTGCGTTACTTCCGCACGAAGCTCGATTTTGACACCGAGGATGTCATTGCCCATGTTCAAGACCCTCAGACTGGAATGGGAGAGCTTGAAATCCGGTTCGCCTGTTATCGAAACCAGTCTGAGTCTGCTCGTCAAGCGCTGAGCAAGGAGTATCCTCCCGGTGCTACCCTTCCAGACGGCAGGATGTCTCCAATCTGGGAGCTTAGATACGGCGTCGACCCTTGTTCTATCTGAGGGCTTAACCTGGCCAGCTTCTTCATTTATAACGACATAATTGCTGCGGGGCTTCATGGGTAGTGTATCAAGGCAAGAAGCATGAATCGCATGGGGTGGAAGTGGAAGTGGATTCACTCTCGCCGGTTTTGGAAGGGAGAAGTTCTGAATTTTGGGCCTGATTTGAGATACCCAGACTTTGATTTTGGTTTTGTTGCTGGGCATATTGTACCATCGCCGACTTCGGTCAATAATGGTGTTGGGACGATCGTCTGCCAGATGATATTCGCTTTGGGATTTTCTTTGGATGGGGATGGGGCATGGATAAAGGCATATGGATAGTCGTGGAAGCCCTCCCATAATGAATAATTTATTGTTTCTGTATTTCACTCAGTCCATTTTCCACTCACATAGCGTGTTATCTTTTCAGTGACTGATTTCCCCAAGGCATCACGGAACCTCAGGTGTTGCATCTTCATCACGCCTTCCAAAAGGACGGATGTTCGATGATGACATAAGCGTAAATTTTGCAGGTGGTCTGGGGAAGGAATAAGATCCCCTGCTCTTTCCTCTTAGAGCTACATCTGTGGTCTGTGCGCAGGGCTCTTTGCCCGTCCAATTGGACAGGCTCGGTGTGACGCAACCCCCACACCTTCCTTACTTCGTACTCGGTGGTGGCGGCATCAAATACCTACCTTACTCAGCTTCTCACCCTCAATTTACCTCCATCACTTGATAAGAGAAAGACACCGGGGCTTGAAGGTCACGAGGATCTCACCGAAGATGAAGGAAGCTGATGAGATCTCAGAAGCCTCATCAAAGGTATCCAAAGCCTCTGATAAGCGGAAGGATAATACGTCCTCCCCGAAAGTTAATCCTGACAAAGCAACTCCGGCCGCAAAAAGCTCACCACAACCAACGATGGTTACAACTACAGCGAAAGGCCCAGTCATCGACGACTCAACTTTCACAGTCATCAATAGTGATGGCACAACTTCCTACTACACAAGCACTGGTGAGCTGATAGAAGGCGAAATTAAAAGATCCATGGAGGCCACAAAGGAAGTCATGGATAGCGACCGTGTCACAGCAAAGGGCGCGCTCAATCTACGCTCAAAAAAGACTGAGAGAATGAAGCGGAAACTTGAGAAGAAGACTGCCAAGTCCTCGGCTCGCCGGACAACTCAACTTCTCGACCTTCCCAATGAGACTCTTGTCGACATCATCAGCAACATGCTTCCCAGCGAGGTCTTGAAGACTGCCCAGACCTGCAAGACACTCCGCAAGCTCATTCAACACAACGAGAAGCTTCTCTCGCGCAAAATCATCTCCCAGCGATATCCCGTTCTTTCCAAGTGCTTCCGGCTCCCAGTCACACTCGACGAGATCGACCCAGAGCTTCACCCAGTCCTCAAGAATGACGCCAGAATCGACATGCTCGGTATCCACCGGCGATATGTCCACATCCCTCAACCCGAGCCCTACGTCTTATGCACCTGCCTCACATGCGTCTTACGCTGGCAGGCCTGCTGTATCATTGTCGACTTCAACAAGTGGCGCCCAAACCTCGACTCTGGGGTTCCCATCACCATCATGCGCCGGGGCCAAGACGCTTCGTGGAACTTGGTCTGGAAAGACAGAATCACAGAAATCGTTCTCCATGCCATCCGTTACCCGCTCGCCTACGCTCATCTCCTCGAGGTCCATCTCAACAACACCTGTGCCGCGATCAAGAGACAGAGAGCGAACAAGGGTAATCGCCGTCGCCACTTTGAGATGTCCGAGGCTGATGCGAAGTCCCTCACGGACGCCTTCTTGGAGGGGAACGGCCCGCCTACCATCGATCTCCCTTACTCGCGGGATAACTACTACATGCTCGAAGCGTACATGCCTGCAAGAACCTGGCTCAAAGATGAGGAGAAGTGGGTCTATATCCCGGCGGACTTTCACGACAGAGACCTCGATTGGGTCGCGAAGCGATGGGGTCCGGAATGGGGCGTCACACATAATCGGGACAGGCCTAATGAGAAGATGGGGGGTTCGGCTTAGAAGGCTATCAGGAACCTCGGATCTTACTTTACTCATATCCAGTGCTACGATCGTCATCATTCAACGAACTATAACTGCCCGCTGATTCCTGAGGCGGACATGTGCAAGGCTGGCGTGGCTCTTTCAGGTGGCAGACCGCAGTTGATATCTTTTTCGTTGGTGCCGATTTAGAAATAGTGGTTAGGGCCCTTGTGGTATGAGGGATTCAGAGGGGAGGCACTGATCTTTTGGTACCGTGGGCTGGCTTACCTTATAGGGAGCGGGCAGTGATTAGGACCTCCTAGAAGGGAGGTCTCATTGGTCACACGACTTCACACGAGCGACGAAATTAATGGCCACTATGAGTACAATGGACTTTTTTGAGAAAAAGAAATTGAGTCACTAAACAACCTCGTCGTTCTTGCCTCCTTCAGAATTTCCTTGTTATCTCCTTGACCTCCCTCATCGTGAATCAAGACTCATTAAGAGCACGGCCTGGGCTTATCTCTTCCATAGCCTCACAACCGAGTCTCAAGCCTCTTCGTATACACACAGTCCAACTTTGCAGGCTTAATAATTAGCTGGAACTTGGCTTCCTCCTCGAACGTCTTGCCGTCTTCTCCAGGGGCGAATTCAAAGTCGTAGTTCCAGAGAGTGTAAGCGATGGTAAGCCGCAGAACGTTCCAAGCCAGGCGCCGTCCTACACAGTCATATCGACCTGTTAACCAGAATGTCAGCCGTTTCATTCTGGATGCTATACGCGATATCTGCTTACCGTAGCTAAAGGGCAAGAAAGCCCTGCGGTCAATGATTAACTCGGGACGCGTCGTCCAGCGCTCGGGGATAAACTCATTAGGGTACCTCCAATACTTGTGGCCTATAGTGATCGTCAGTCATACAAATATGTGTGTCCCACGCCAGCTTCTGGACTTACTTCGATGATAGCAGTGGATTGGCGTACATAAAGTCACGTTTCCAGGGATGTAGGTTCCATCAATCGTCACACCCTCAGGCGGAGCCATTCTGGGCCCATTGATCGGCGCGGGAGCATACATGCGCAAAGTCTCGGTGATGACAGCTTCAAGAAGCTCAAGCTTATTGAGGTCCGTCACAGCGAATTCCCCTTCAAGGGTCTTGGAGTGCATAGGGGCAATCTCCTCGTAAAGACGCTGACGGAGTCTGGCGTCGCGGGCGATGTAGTAGAAGGCGTACCCTAAGGTGCAGGAGATTGTATCCCTGACTCTTGGTTAGCATGCGAGTTTCTCCAAACAAAAGTCCCTGTGGGTACGAACGTTGCTCCGATGAGGATGGCTTGAGAGTCGGAATACATGATGTTGACATTGAAGAAGGACTTTGGTTTCTCAGACTTGTAATCGTCGAGAAAGTATTTCAACATATCGTGAGACTCATCGGAATCAACCTGTTCAATCATCAGCCATGCTTCCCCATAATTCTCCTAAGCAGACCTGAACTTACGGCAATCCTCTCATCGACAAGTCGAACCCCTAAATCCTCAAATTCCTTCTGCATCCCCATCCGTGGCAGCTTCGCCAAAAACACGAGTGGCCAAGGCGTCTGCCCTAGTCGAGCGCCCAACTTAAACGTCGTCTCGATGAGGTCAAGCATCCTGTCCTCTCTGCCGTCTCGGACAGTACCAAAATCTCTACCGTAGCCTACGCGACCCATGTTGTCAAAGGGGATGAGTTTCGCGTAGTGAGAGGCGTTGATGGGCTTTCCTTGGACTTCTTCAAGGCGGGAAAGCCACGTTCGGAGGACGGTGCGGGTTTCTTCTTCGTATCTTTCGAGGGCTGGCGGAGTGTCAATGAATCCAAACTATGGTTAGACAAACCTCATGATGATTTGGTGAGAAGGGGATGTCACCTTTACTTCCAAGAGCTTGGTCCCAGATTTTACGTCTGTCACGGTGTACCTCGTTGTGCGAAAGAGAATCCAAGTTCAACTCGCCCTTTGTCCTCAAGGCGTCGTAGAAGCCGGTGTTGCGCTTGGTGCACTTTGTCTGTGGTCCGTGGATTTTGTTGATGGCGTCAAGGTCGACGATTGAGATGTCGTTCGGGCCTGGGTTCTTATTAGCTGGTGCTTGGCTTCCCTTATCAATAGCGCTCGTTCGAGATGTTGAATCCGTACCCACGCGCACAAAATCTCCGTGCTTCTCGTGCATCTCGAGATACTTTTCATGCAACTTCCAATCTCTGTTGAGCCACATGATGTAGGGCTTCATAAGCTTAGCCGGAACAGGACCGGGAAACCGGCGTAGTGGGTGAAAGAGTAGGCGGTATATCCCGATACTAGTGAACAGACCGGCGAAGTAAGAGCTCGATATTGCAAGATGCGCCGTTACTCCCTTTATAAATCCCAGACTCGTAACGGACTTTAGGAAGAGAAGCATCAGTGCGACGCCGTGGACGACCAAAATGTTGAACACCTCCATGCTCCTGTGCCCGCGGATGAAGTAGCCCCAATGTGATAGGAGACCAACTCCTGCCGCCAGGGCGCAGAATGGGCCAACGCCGGTGCCCAGATTGGCGCTCAGTGTAGATAAAACGTCTTTCATCGTGGCTTGTGTTGATGAGTCGCTATTGTTTGCTGGCGTTAGTTATTAACATCCGCACCTGCCCAGTTGTGAGGTGTCTAGGGCGATGGAGCTTAATTATATCGCCCGCCTGAGCTTTCCGCTCAGGTGCCGAGGCCAGGTTGCTTTGGTCGTGCAGTGTCCAGACCATCTGATACACCACTAGCAATTCCGTCTTTGGAGGGCTTTGGGGTAACTCCCGAAGAATGTTCTCATGGGACAGCCCTGCAATCTGCAAAAAGGTTTGACCGGCGGCCCGTCGGACGCCAGAAACTAAAGAGACTTAAGGTAGTATTTGAGAAAGAAGTAGGCTGTTTAAGTGAGCCCTTTGTTTCTGGCACAAATTGAAGAGTTGGGTGATGGAACTTCCCCGCATCACCACCACACGGATCCTGTAAAGATTGCGGCGACTGAACGGGATCTGGATTCCGAGCGAAGGGATTGGGCTCTCGTATTTCCATAGGGTGGGATAGCGAGAATCGCACGGGATGCCTTGTGATCATTTTGCTCTTACAGTATCATCCAGAATACTGACAATCCTGTCTTTCGCCTTGAGTCTTACCCTCGTGCTACACGCGGCACAGTACGACAGGCATCAACAGCGGTAGAGAAGACATGCGAAAACAATGTGTACGCGATGAGGTATATGATTGGGTTTTAGGTACTGTGGCTCTCTAGGATTCTCATATGCCAAATTTACTTCACAATACAACGACCCCATGTAAGGTGGTCGATGCAGCAAATTATGTGTGTGCTTGCGATAGCAACAGTGCACCTTGATGTTGGGGAAACCTGTGGCAATGTATTCTAACTGCGTAAGTTACCAACGGCCCGTCGGAACAATCAAAGAATACCTTGAGCATTGGCAAGTCAGGCAAACAGTCATCTCATGCGAGTGCGAATTGACCAAACATGCATGAGGCTTTGGGTGCAATGACGTAGAAGGGTGTGTTTGATATGCGTTGATTACTAATCTGAACTTTGAAACTTTGAAACACCTATGCCCTTGTAAACATGTTCCCGCCGTGGTATACAATTCTAATGTGTGCAAATCATTCCGTAAAAATCGTCATAAGCCACTCCTGAGTCTAGCAGCGACCCCTGCGGCCTCCCCATCCTCCACCCATGCCACCGCCGTATCCGTATCTGCCGGGTCCGCCAAAGCCGCCGCCGCCGAAGCCAGGTCGGGGGCCGCATGGCCTAGGTCCACCCATCATGCCGCCGCCGTGGTGGCCGTGGTGGTGGGTCTGTACGATAACTGGGCGGGGGCCGTAGCCAGGACCGCCGTAGCCGCCTCCGTATCCTCTGCGTCTTGACAGGCCGAAGCACATTTTGTGTTGGTTGTAAAAGTGGGCTGAAGATAGTTTGTAGGTTGTTGTGTGACTTGAGGTCTGTCGCGAGTAGTTTAATTGCGCGACTTTGAGGTAAGTTGTTGTAATGTCAACTGATTGAGTGTTGTTTGAAAGTTTGTGAGTTTGGATTTGGTTCTCGATGAGAAGCTCAAGTGTTCTTGTGGTTGTGGTTTGTTGTGATAATGAATAGGAAAAGGAGCCATGTTAGAAGGGGAGGAGCAATCCACTTTATAGATCGTCTGCTTCATGCATCCATCTGCCCAGCATAGTGCTGCCAGACCCTTCGTGCGTCATTTCGTCCCGACCGAAGAACGCTAAGATGCCAATGCCCCAAGTCAACACTAGGATAAAGGAAGCAACTTGGCTCATGTCACCATGTCCTGAGGGGCCACGCAATCGGTCTCCGCACGGAAGACAGCGAAAAACCTAGTCCCACGTCACTGAGAACGCCGCAACCAGCGCTCCCAAGTCGCTAAACGGCTCGAGCGGCCGAGAGCGAAGCCTTAAGAGAGTCAAGGTCCATCCCAGACAACGTGATTGTGGCTTTGTGCTGCTGAGCCACAATGCCTTCTACTGTTGCTGCTGGACCTCGGCCAATGCCGAGCCACACCGAAGCGCCCCGTTGAAGAATCCCGAGGTGCCGCCACATTCCGAGACATTGGTGCGGACGCGAGCGTCTTCGTGGAGTGACCAATTGGGGGGCCGTTGGTCTTCGGTGCCGGATGGCCGGCATGGTTTGGTGCCGCATTTGGTGTGCCAGGTTCGCCGAATCGGCTTGGTGTCTTGGCTATCGTCTGTTCTTGGGTTTTCTTCAGCTGCTGTGTGTTGAGTTGGTCGCTTGTTCGAGTTTTGCTGAGTAAAGGCTGCTGAGAAGTCATTTGAGTCGAGTCGTCCGATGCCTCGGTTTCCCTTGGAACGTCATTCTAGATCTGAATTTGTTGACTCAGAAGTTCTAGAACGTAGCCTCAAGACTTGTGGGTTGGCGAGAATGTCGCTAAGGCGTAGGCGATGCTTGGATGCACTTTCGTACCTTGCTCGCCCATCTAGCCAGTTAGGAACATCTCATCAACCACCGCAACTTAAACTATGGGTTCAGTTGAATGAACTAGAACGATTACTATCGCTTGCCACGCGTCATCTTCTTCAACCATTATTTACGTGCCTTCGAGGACTGAGTGGTTCATGATTTCGAAACTTGTAAGCCGCCTTGAACACACTGCACCACGCCTACCAAAGCACCGAGCACCAAGACCAAGATTGCCAACCAGAATGTGCACCAAACCACCCTGTTTCGACGATCATGCCACCATTGAGATAGAGTACGAGGAGTAGCATCATCATATGCTTGCTTGAGAACGATGAGACGATTTCTCCAGAAGCTAAACCTCTCGATCCTTCGGGCCTCTGCAGATAGTGTTCCATTGGACCCAAGGCCCCAATCGATGGGAGGGCGTGGCTGTTTGGATAGAAGCTTCTGATACCAAGACCAGCGTCGGCGTTTAGATATACCCGAGCCACCGAACTCTGACTCAGGAAAGAGTAGCTGCAGAGTCTCTAGGGTTTCTTCGAGAAACCCGGCCGGGAAGATTGAGCTGAGTGATAATCGTATCAGTGCCAAGTCACTGGATAAATGCTTTCGGATACCCGGCACTCTACTTGCCTTTGGTGACATCGAAGGAAAGAAACGTGATGAAAAATCAACACTTTCATCCCAGTTTCTTCCTCAATAAGTAGAAGATGGTCTGCCAAGTTGTCCGTAAACTCAACTTGGATACCCCCGATTGCAACCAAACTCCAAGCGTGAAACGTCTTAGGCAAGCGGACGCCTTTCACGTCTAGGCGGGCTTCTTCATCCAGGTATTTCACTATGCACTCTCTCAAACAGCCAGAGTCCCATGTAAGATGATGATGTGGAAATGTGTCGCCCTGAACCGGTCCAAATTTGAGCATGAGCAAAAGGCGTAGCGCCATGTTGATGGTTGTCTCTTGCGCCCTGTAGTTCGGTCGCTCCCCGTCTTTATCGTCGAAATAGACCGACACATCGGCTTTCGTGATCGAATCTGCAGTTGACAGGTAGAGAATGAAGTCCTTAAGTTTGTCTGGTTCCTTGAAAGCCATGTAGAGACCGTCATTATATCCAGCTATTGGCCCCCATTGGCGATAGCAGTACCCAAGGTAAGCAGACTGACTATAAGGCCTAGTGGTTGACAGTCGTCCATAGCGAATAGCCTCGCAAGGTTTGGGTAGACTCCAAAGAGTTTCGGCGAGGTCTCGAAAGTCAGCTTCTCTGAACTCCATCATTTGGCTACAAGTCCCTTATGTCTATGCCGGGTTGAGATAGGTAAAGGAGTTAAACAAAACTTGACGAAACGAAAGGACGCAAGAAAACCGTCTGTATACATTTGTCTAAGATGTCAAGATCAGGCTGTTAACCCGAAATCCAAAGTCCGGGTGGCAATTCTCTGACTGATAGATGCACATTTGTCTAGCGTTTTTACACTTCTGAGCCACCTATTATGATCCCCGGTTCTCTCCTCTCTTGCGCTAAAATAATGTGCTCAATCACACGATCGGTACAGAATGTGATGAACTTTCCTGTTGGATATTGTCTCATTGACTATGCCTATTGGTTGGAGCCATAGGTCACCGAAATGTGGCTGAATCGCACAGAAAGTCCGATGTGATGATAGGGTGATAGAGTGCAGGTGTCTTGGATTCCACTTCGCTAATTTGTGAAGCGCTTACCGCTGACCGCTACGCTGCCTCGTTGTGCAGGGCACTTTTTTTACTTGCCTCATGTCGTCCGCCATGTCCGCAAAGTCGCCACCGGAGAGCAAATGGCACCGTGCCTCTCTCTGCCTTTGAACCTGGCTTTGATATTGCCGTTTTCCATGGAAAAGTTCCTCACGACTGACATTTTCTGAGGGCCAATCTCACGACTTCCTACGATGCCTCAATTCAGACGTCCAAGATGGCAAAATCCTCAAGACTCCTGCGGTCACGAGATACGCAATACCATTCTCACGAGGAAAAGGGCATGGTTCGCCAGTGGACTAGCCCTTGAAAAATATTCCACAGACTTGGAACCCAATCTTCTCGCAGTCTTAAACAGCCTCGGTCTTGAGCGTGGCGAGATATATGTTCGGCTCTACATGATCGGCAGGGCTGAAACGACATCGGAGCCCACGATAATGGTCTGTTGCATGGACGAAAGCATCAGATCTCGCGTGAAGAACGAATTGCGAGCCAATACCACATTACGAGCCTGTCGCGAGTTCCTCGTTCATGGGCTGCCGCACCCGCTTGAGCAACTGCGTCCAGCACAACCCCTGGCGCGCACCAACGATTCTTGGGATTATAACGAAGAAGAGTGCTATTCAACCTCTCCTCTTGACGATGTCTTTTCTCCAACTGCGTCACTAAGTTTGGGACGTCGCCTGTCCAGGCCTCAAAGCGACAGCGCGACAACATTCTGGGCCACGGGAGGCATTTTCCTCCAGATTGACGGCGCTTGCTTCCAATTCACAGCTGAACATGGCCCGAATGTTATTCACAAAAACCAAGATCCCCTTCCAGGGCCAGCAACGGACCATGACAATTACTCCATCAACGGGAGCGATGATGACGACGAAGTAGAAGAATCCCCTGCAACCTTCGATCTTTTGAGCCAAGGGAGCATAACTCCGAAAAGAAGCTCTTTTTCCCAAAGATCTTTGTCGATAAACCAATCGGAGAGCTCGTTTTGTGACAATGAAAGCTCGAGTGCGGAGGATTGGATAGGTCAAGAAGACACAGAACCTGTTCTTGGACATCGGAAAACCACAAGAGTCAGACTCGCAGCGAATTCGACGACATGCTGGACCTCAAAGCCTCAAAAAAAGTCGGGGTGATCACTATCCGTGCCAGTGAAGGATCATCTCCAGAGCTTGACTATGCCCTCGTACTGACACCGCCCCCAGGAGTCTCGGATCCCGTCAATAACTTCAAAGTTTCGGTTGGAATCCCAGAGAAATCTCTCAAGGTCTTTCAATATGATTCAGCTTCGCGGGGGAAGAAGAGCATAGTCATAGCTGGGGGTCCTGGATCTGTTCGAACGGGTGTCCGCCAGCCAGGAACGACTTTATTCAAAAGAGCCGACCTAAGCTCGTTTCAAAACCTCGAAGCTGTGCAGTTGAACGACAGCGAGTTTAGCTTCGGCGATTCAGGAGCAGCTGTACTGGACCAAGAGTCAGGCGTCTTCTATGGTCATATCATCAGTGGCTGTCCTGGTACGGGGATAGGCTATTTGGTTCCAGCAGCTGAAGTTTTCCAAGACCTTGCCTCTATGGGCTATCACGCAGTTGTGGCCCAAAACGACAATAGGACCTTTGCGAGTGAAGTGGCCAGATCCGAAAACTGGCCAAATGGTCATGTCTTCGCTCCCAAGATGTCCAGCAGAGACGCCTCAACTCAAACTGAGGATATCTTGCTACCCACACCACCACTTTCACAAACAGGGAGCGACGTCGATTATCCTCATACATGTATCTCACAGTATCAACGCAAGGTTGAGCTAGAACTTGATGACTCTACTTCTCGGTGGCCGACTCTTTCTAGTCCAAAGAGAGCAATTCTCATCGCTTGGTTCAACGATAGGTTTCTCGACGATGTGCGAAACAAACGCGCTGAAGATGTGTGGGTCATGTTCTACAGTTACTGTGGAAATTTAGCGTCTCATAAGATCAAAAAGGTCGGAGACATATGCCGATCAGTAACGCTGGAGTCTCTGAAAAGCAGTGCATCCAAAGAATCAACTATATGGCTTGATGAGCGAGAACATAGAAGCCTCCAAACCCGCTCATCCCTGGGTATTCTCACAGCAAGTGAGCTTTTCGAACGAAGGATGCTCAAAGTAAGTCAACTAAATTCATCCTGATTAGCGATCTTACTGACCATGTCCTAGCGGTTTGGAGAGAGTGGTTATGTTGACGCCGACAGACGTGTCGTGTAGGTTACAGATAATTCATAGATGATCTCATTACACTGACGCCGTTACGCAGATTCGTTCAAAACCCAGATTCTTGGTCAATACTATCTCTCGCCATTACATGCTCAAAAGCCGAGCAAGAGGGAGTGGCAGAGGCTATTTACAGACATGTCGCTTTCCGACCTCATTTTGGCGTTGCAATACGCGTGAGTCACCAAGTCAGGCTCCTTTTGCTACGAGACTTGTTAATGACAAATTGGTAGTCAGCAGGTCTCAAAACCTTTGACCTAGAATTCCAGATGCCGGTTTTTGTCTTAGGATCTCGAAAGGGACCAGGAAATTCTCATTCGTCCAGTGGCGGCGGTGGGAGAGACGAAATACGCCAGGCAACAGATCTTTCTTTTCTCTTTCCATCGCAGCTTAGGTCTCATGGAGCGAGCATCCCGCAATTTCTCTACGAGCGTCATCTTTCACTCCTAGTCACAGGATTTGACGAATTCAGGTGGACGGCCTACTGCTTGGCCGACTCTTTCTCGGAGGATGAAGAAAATCTTCGGACCATAGCCAACTACACTAACAGAGAGTTGCTAACAGACCCTGTCTCTTGTGGAAAGTTGCCCATCGGCGCCCTATGGGATCCAAGAGAATACTTTCTCACCATCCTCCGCATTCGACTTAGACAGTTCGAAAGCGAGTGGGCTCGAACAACAAATTTCCTTGAAAGAGCCGTTGGAAATCAGGTGATATCTCTCTCCCAGTGAAACAGAGCTCTATGGGACCTAACGCACCCAAACCAGTTGCAGGATGGTATCAGGACGACTCGAGACCCCGCAGAGCAACATAGCGAGCTTGAGACACAAGCTCGACTGGGACGCACGGAAGCCTTGATCATGCAGCTGTTGCATACAGTTTCGGGAACCCTCGAAGCGTGGGAAAGATTCCAAGAAGGCCACTTGGAGTCCTATTTCAACGAACTGAAGACTCGACCATCCTTCCCTCATCACCTCTGTCGTCAAGATATGTTGCACGCCATTGGGAATGTGAGGAAACACGCGCACTCCTTGCACGCGATGAGAAGTCTGTGTCAACTCAAGTACTCTCTGGTATGGATATATCATAAAGTCTCAAAATTACCTCCAAGTCCATGTCTGACCACGATTCATAGGCGCCGCAATATGCAACACCGCAGACCACCAAACGCGACACGGAGCGGTTAACTCTAATTCTCACGAGCACTTTTGTGGTAAGTATTGAATTCCGAATGCAGAATTGAATTTTATCTTAAGAAATATACATGATTGACGGCTCACCTTACCTGTTGCAGTTATCCATGCCACTTTCCCTAAGCGCCTCTATCTTGAGCACCAATATCATACCTCTTCACCACTCATGGCCGGTGCTTTTGCTCTTGGCGACGGTCATCGCCGTACTGACGATGCTCTACGTGCTCGCCGCCACGATTGGGATACGAGATATTGCAAAAAGCATGAGTGCGGTAGTCTCATACCTCTTCATGCATCTAAGGAGACCATTCCATGCATTAAGTATTGTCTTTCAGCATCTTGCCGCGAAACAACTTCAATCAAACCCAGGCCAAGATATGGAGATCGGCAACGCTGATCCCTGTAAGATCATAGAGGGGCCAGTTCCTCTCCTTACCTCGGAGCCAAAGAGCACTGATCCGACAACACACGAGCAAACTTCTCAATTCTGTAAACTGCATCGACGCGGATATAACCCAGCCGTTGAACGTGACCTCTTGTATCAAAACAAAACATGGTCTCTTGGTTATAATTTCGGACCTACTAGTACTAATAGCCACGTTGAATTAAGCACACTTTGACCTCAGAGGTGGTGTTTTCGCCATTGAGGCCGGCTTCTTCGAAGGCCAGGAGAGTCAATCCTACAACGCTCGAGTATTCTCCTCGATCCAGCATATGACATCAATCAAGGGATCTTGCTTTATTTTAATCCAAGAGATCACGTTCAACAGCTGTCTTTGAAGCGCATAGTCAGCTTACAACTTACACAAAGGGATGATGTTGCCGGGCTGTATTTGATATTGAAGTCAGTTGCATATTCCAATTCTACTCATATTTTCCCTGGGGGGATGATACTTGGCTTTCTTCATGTTGGCATTATACTCTCAAGTCTCCACAGCTTACTACGACTTGGTGCTCGCTCGAAATAAGTCTCAAGCATTGAAATGGAAAAAGCAAGGAACAGAGTCACAGAGTCTGGAGACTAAAAGATGATTTCGAATACAAGCGAATGTCTCGATGTAATTTTAGGCGTACTTGAACATCTTCGAGACTATAAGTGACTTGGGCACGTTATTTCTTACGACACAATGGGTAACGTGAGGCGTCATAATTACATATTTTGTGCCTTCCTCGAGTTACGCAATCTGAGAACGGATCAAAAAAAGACACATCAACTTCCCTCCCAATGTAGGTGCGGTCCTCGCGTCTCCACGATCTCTTTATCAGTGATACCAATGTAGTCTTGCTGCTGAGCCAGGAACTCTTTGATTTTCCGTACATCTGTTGGCTTCTCCCCTACATGGTCTTCCTCAAGAGTCTTCAGAAATGCGTGGAGCCGTTCCTGCACCACCTCAACCCTATACTTGGCCCATTGGTAGTAGAGCTCTGAATGCTCCGAGATCGGTCGGATAGAAGTCAAGACTGAGTCATCCTTGATGCATGGGTTTCGGGGACGGAAAGATGTGATCATAGTGATACGCTCGGCACCACCGATGGCTGCGAGAGCTTGATGTTCGACATATCTCCCTTGAAGGATGACTGCCGACCCCTATTCAAGGTGAGCAGGTCAGATATAAGAGATCGGACAACGTTACTTACCATCTGCGGGCCCCGAACCTTTAGGATCTCTCCCGTTCCTGTCTTGATAGCTGTTTCCCCGCCTACCATGTTCGTCGCATCACTCATCATGACAACGCACACGAAAGGAAAGGCATCGTAATGCCACTTGGTCACGGAAGTGTTGTCCCCAGCCTTCGCTTGAGCCTTCTCCTGGTCGCTGGATTTGCTCTGAACGGATATGTTGATATTGCCGACTTCGTACTGAATATTGGGGATGAGATCCACCCCGGCGACCTGCGAAATGACAGCCAGAGTCTTTGAATCGTTCCACGCCTGGTTCATAAAAGGCGCATACCTGTCTCCTATGTCAGCTCAACTTTGACTCTGGAGAGGTTTGACATACTTTGGACAGTGGCCACGCAGCTGACAGGGCGCGAATCTGGTGCTGTGCAGGCAGTTTTCCCAGACCTCGGTTGTGAAGATCTCTTGCCTCATGTGCTGGATGGCCTCTTCAGTGAAGAGAGGGAACGGCTCCGAGCAGGCAACTGGGGAGATTCCGATGTCCTCGGGCAGCGAAATATCTTTGAGAGACAGCTTCTTGGGATCGTTGACGAATGCAAGATGCTTGTCCGGGTTAAATATTTCGGATTTAGCTGGAGTTGCTGGCTTTAGGTCGTCCTTGATGATGGGCGTGAAGCTGAGCTTTGCCAAAGGGGATGGAGTTGCGAACGCGATGTCAGCCATACCTGTGGTTACAGTCGATGAGTGGGGGTTCTGAGTTCTTGTAATTCGAGTGCTTAGGATTGAAAGTTATGGCAACACAGATGTTTCGATATCTCTCGATAGCTACGAGATTCCTTTCTCACCATAACGAAGGCTCCTTGATATAGTTAAGACCTCAGAGGTCTGATGCACAGCTCATGTTTCACAGACACAACGTTAGCACAGCCATCGCCGACGGTGTGTGTGCCACCTCGAGTTGGTTGGGCATCAGGCCGCCTGAAAGTGCCTCCGAGCCAAAAAAGATTGTCAATATCTCATCCAGGGCCAAGCAATGCATGCGTTCACGTGTGCCTCGTTTCATCGTTGTGATTCTAATCTTTTCGAGTAAGAAAATCCGCGATATCTGACATGCAGCCACTTCGGCTTCTCATCATTGAGTGTGATGCTCACAAAGAAGCCGATCCGAGATCGCACCCGATCCCTGTCACCCGCCCCCCGCTTGCGGTTATCAATCCCGAGACCTGCTTGTCCCTCCGAACCCCGCACCGAAGACGCGCTTGGGTGTCCGGCTCTCATTTCAGTTTCCCTATCAAGACCGTACGTGGGATGTGGCACCGATCAACGACTACCGGTCTCCTAAGACGATAAAGATGAATCTTGTCAACTACCTGGGCGATATGCCACGAATAGGGGATCGCTTCATCCTACACAGGTCCTTGATCACTGATCGTTATCACCTCATGCTTTGAATACCCGGCCGATCTTCTCACACAATGTCTTCCTTCGCATCCTCTCTGAAAGACCCTAGTCTCTTTGTCCAGAAGTCATACATCAACGGTCAATGGACGTCGTCAGACTCTAGTAAGACCTTCCAGGTCACCAACCCAGCAACAGAGGAGCTCATCGGTACATGTCCTGAGTCAACCATTGGCGACCTCAACAAAGCCATCGATGCCGCAGCCAAGGCATTCCCGGAGTGGAAAGCATCGTCAGGCCGTCAACGAAGCCGTATCATCGGGCGCATTTTTGACCTCCTAGTCGACAACCAAGTAGACCTCGGCAAGATTATCACCGCCGAAAATGGCAAAGCAAAAGGAGATGCCGAGGGCGAGGTGATGTTCGGGGCAAGTTTCTTCGAGTGGTACGGGGAAGAGGCCGCTCGGATCTATGGAGACATCATTCCCCACAGCAACCCGACTCATAGAACCCGCGTCATCAAAGAACCCGTCGGCGTCTGTGGCTTGATCGTGCCTTGGAATTTCCCTCTGGCGATGGGCGCTCGCAAGATCTCGGCCGCATTGGCAGCCGGGTGTACCGTTGTCATGAAGTCTGATGGACTTACACCATTCTCTTCAAACGCGCTAGCTGTGCTTTGCGAGAGGGCCGGCGTACCTCCTGGAGTCTTTAACGTTGTCACGGCACTAGAAAACACACCTCAACTTGGTCTTGCTCTATGCGAGTCAGACGTCGTGAAGAAGATCTCTTTCACGGGCTCGACAAGAGTTGGCAAGTTGCTAATGCAACAGTCAAGCAGCACCCTCAAGAAGTTGAGTCTTGAGCTAGGTGGCAACGCGCCCTTCATTGTGTTTGATGATGCAGACATGGAGATCGCAATTTCCAGTGTTCTTGTCTCCAAGTTCAAGGTCACTGGTCAGACATGCGTGTGCGCCAACCGGATCTTCGTGCAGGAGGGTATTTACGACAGGTTTAGCCAGAGGCTGGTGGAGGAAGTCAAAAAGTTCCGAGTTGGCAACGGCACAGACGCGTCGGTCACTCATGGACCCTTGACCAATGGTGTTGGCAAGGTTGAAGAGCACATCAAGGACGCCGTCACCAAGAACGCAAAGATTTTGCTAGGCGGCAACCGATTACCATCAGCCGGCAAGAACTTTTACGAGCTCACCATTCTCGGAGACGTCGACGACTCAATGAAAGTGACACAAGAAGAGACGTTTGGTCCCCTTGCGGCACTGACGAAGTTTTCCACTGAAAAAGAGGTCATTCAGAGGGCCAACAAATCTGAAGTCGGACTGGCATCATACGTCATTACGAACGACCTAGCTAGGTCAACCCGAGTATCAGAGCTTCTGGAGTTTGGAATGGTTGCCATCAACACCGGTGTCATCTCAGATGCTTCAGCGCCGTAAGTAACCCATGATTCGCGTCGCCTTGCAGATCAAAGGCTCAAAGCTAACACTCACCAGATTCGGAGGCGTCAAGCATTCCGGCTTTGGCCGGGAAGGCAGCAAATATGGGCTCGACGACTACTTGACGATCAAGATGATTGTAACCGGCGGCATCAGCACGCGTCTGTAGTAGACAGTAACAAATGTGGTAGGGGTTTCACCATCAAATGGACTGCATACTGTCGATTCGCTGAAGTCACTATCAAAGAAGAGCAAAAGGTTTGACGTGGTTTCAATGCCATTGATGACCGTCCGGTCACATTCTCAATTTTGTGTAACGCTAGAGTAAAAATTTCAATTCGCTTTTATGCTTGTCTCATTGCAATCCTTTAAACAAGGTGCAGGGTTCCGTTGTTGTTTCCTATTCTCTCATCCAAGTTCACAGAGCTGCGCACCCACTGGCCGTTGCGGGACAGCTCGGCCTCGAGGACCTGGCCGCCCTGAACCAGACGGGCATCCCGCGCTGAGGCACCGAAGTTGCCGCCGGAGTTTCCACCACGGCCGGGGATCTGAAGGACCTGGCCAGGCCAGATTTGGTCCGGGTTGGGGATGTTGTTGTGTCTCGCAATCTCCTCGAACCCGACGTTGAATCTCGCAGCGATGTTGCGGAGGGTGTCGCCCTGCTGGACAGTCACGGAAGAGTCACCGCCACCGCCACCACCAGAAGACCAGCGGAAGCTACCGTGGTCGTTCTCGAGGATCCTGTTCAGGCTGATGGTGCTGCTCTGCCACTCGCCGTCGCGACGCTTGCATGACGCGTGGAGGTTGTACTCTCCGTGAGCATCAAGACGGATGTCTCTGGATGAACCGGTGAAACCACCACCGTAGTTTCCACTGCGAGGCTTGTCGTCGCCATGGCGATCGTCGTGGTGTCCGTGATGGTGGTCCTTGGGAGGAGAGTGAGGGCGGTCGTGCTCATGCTTTTGGTCGTGCTCGTGCTTCTTCTCCTCATCCCGCTTATCCTTCCAGTCGGACACACCATCCTGCAACTTGTGTCCAGCAAAAGCTCCCGCAACAGCACCGATGAAGGTGCTAGTCTTGCTGTGGCCGAAGTTACCGCCAACCTTGTGGCCGCCGAAAGCGCCGGCAGCACCGCCGGCGAGAGCACCGGTCAGGCCACGCTCACCATCCTCACCCTCCAGACCGTTGGATCCAGGCGGGCCGTCATTGCGGTAGCCCTGGTTGCTGTAGTTGCCCTGGTTCTGGTAGGGAGGGGGTCCCGATTGGTGTTGAGATTGTCCGAAACCCCCTTGTTGTTGTCCGTATCCTTCTTGGCCGTATCCATGCTGCGTGCCAAATTGTTGCTGGCCTTGCTGGCCTTGGCCATAGTATGAGCCGGCCTCACCAGAAGGAGGACGGTCTTGTTGGTAGCCACCTTGCTGGTACCCACCCTGCTGGTGTCCACCGTTGTTGCCGTAGTAACTCATGATGATTGGTTTTGTTACAAAAAATACAATTCGGACTTGGGTATTATGTTGATGATCAGAGATGTCTCAGAGTCAGATGCTACGAGATCGAGAGCTAAGATGCGGGGAAACGAAGGTTATATAAACTTCCTTGAGCCTCCAACAATGGGGTCAACGAAGCTTGTGATACATGTACGGATCTCCGTACCTAAGAATATTTACACCGCCGCCATGGTGGGGTGAGGCTTATGAAAGTCTCGACTCAGAATGTCCGCGCGTATCCTCTCTTTCGATCCAATCGGGAACACCGCGTCAAGGTTCACGGCCCACCGCGCAGACACAGCCCCGGGAGTCGGCACGGCTCTTGGTATGTAAACGAACACGTTAAAGTCTGGGCACTCTCGGGCCCTTGCCACGTAGCTTGTTCTGATGTTTCTAAAAGCTTCTGAACCAGGCCAAACAGACCCAGAGGGATGCACAATGGGACCATCAGGAGCCAAACGAGGCCCGCCACAAAGCCCCTGATTGTCTGTCAGGGCCCCCTTAACAGCGCCACGATGAGCTCTTTGCCCTGCATCTCAAGATGATAGGACCCTGCTGCCGCCCTGAGACCCCTTCCCCGCACAGTGGCTGGAGAGAGCAATGGCGTCAGAGGCCTTGAAAGGTAATATCCGATGTTGTTTACGTACTTGTAGAGACCAGCCGAAGCAGTGGCAATTGAAAGCCACCACAGTCATCGGCATGCAGTGCTCGGTACAACATATGCCTGTGAGGTGTTCGCATTCAACAATATCCAAGAGGGCAGTGTAGTTTTGAACGAATCAATTGTGCGAGTGCGAGGCCGATTTCCGTCCCTCAACACCTCGGAATTGTGTCAAGAACAGCATGAAGCCCGATATGTAGTGTATTCGCCAACAAAAATTTGTAAACTAAACCCGAGGGCTCCGGGACGCCCGACTGAGTTTCAAGTCGACCCTGACCATCTGCGCTAGGCGTCTGCGGAGCCCGACCTCATTCTCGTTACCCGCCATCGCCGCTTCGTGTTCATCGACTGTCGGGCGGATCCAAACCAGATCGGCGTGCTCGGGCCTGATGAACTTAGTGCGCTTGAGGATCTTCCAGCCGCAGAACAGACAGATCGCGAGAAATCCCATGGTGTAATTGCTGAAGAAGATACCAGTATCCCACCGGCCCCGTAAGAAGATGGCATATCCATAGAAGATCTCCACCGCCATGAGCCAGACCAAAGCAACCCAAGTGCCATAAGGCTGGAGATATCCGCGATAGGGGAGATCGGATCTGTTGAAGTTCTGGGCTTTCAAAGCTCGATAGAAGAAGAGATAGTTGACACAAATGACGATGTAAGTCACCAGAGTTCCGCCAGTGATGAGATTTGTGAGCCTTTGAGGTCAGCTCATGTTGGTGCATGCAGCACGTTGTCATCGAAACAGGCCGCAGGGATGATGGGTCCTCAACTTACCAAGTCAAAACCTTCACAGAGCCACTGCCTAACTTTAGAAATGAGAGACAGGCAAAGGCGAGTGCAACAAACAGACAGTAGATGGGAACACCTTGCCTGGTGCACTTGGTAAGAAACTTCGGAGCGTGGCCATTTAACGCCAACCCGTAAAGACTGCGAGAAGAGCAGTAGACGTAAGCGTTCCCGGCCGAATAGATACTCGTCAACAGTAGAGCGTTGACAAAATGCGGGAGAACTCCGACATTCATGTTCTTCATGGCAATGACGAAAGGTGAGGCGGCTCCGGTGCCCGTCTCGCCTGAGCTCAGGACACTCAGAAGTGTCGGGTCGTTGGCCGGCAGGACGATGCCAACACACAGCGCGCCACCAACGAAGAAGATTCCGAATCGCCAGTACACGGACTTGAAGGCTGCTTTCATGGTTGTGCGAGGCCGCTGCGCTTCGCCAGCAACGGTGGCTAGGTATTCGGGGCCGACAATGGTGAAAGCAGCTTGCCATAGTGCGGCGAGAAACCCATGGAAGCGACCCAAGTCGCCCTCGTCAATGTACTCAACAAAAGGGCCCTAGTCTTTAAGTAAGTTACTTGCAATACAATATCGACAGGCGTGAATGAGTGAGGCCATGGTGTCATACTGGCTTAGACCAATTACGGAATCCATATGCATCACGTTGTGGGTTACCTCCAACCATGGTGATAAAGGTAAAGAAGAAGAGTATTCCGATGAGAAGAAGCTTGCCCCCTGCGAGCCAAAACTCTGTTTCACCAAAGTACTTGACCATGAGTGCATTGCAAAGGCTGATAGGTGGCAGTTTAGTAGGATATCCCTCGACTTCAAGTGGCAAGGTAGGACGTACGCGTAGAGCACAATGCAAACGGTAATGACCGCAGCGGAAGGGATGTCGTCTCTCCAAAACGTTAAGACCATATTCAAAGCTGTGATCTCAAATGGGATGAGAAGCGCTTCGAAAAGGAAGAAGTTCCAGCCGATCATGAAACCCCAGGCGTCGTCAACCCAGGCACTAGCGTGATGAATGAACGCAGCGCTTATGGGCATCAAGACGGTCATCTCAGCAAGCGAGTTGTTTACTTGGGCAATAGCCAGAGCGTGAAGTACAAATGCGATGAGTAGACTTGCTGCTCCTCGCATGAGTCCGTACCCGACGCTCACAAATAGGGCAGTCCCAATAGAGCCACCGATAGCTACAAATTGGACTTGGCGTGGAGTAAGATGTCGTTGCAAATGGTCGGGAGTATGTAGGATTTCCCCGTTGACCAATTCAGTCTTGCCACTGGTTTTGGAGTTCATCTTTGTGGCCGGAACCTTTGGCTCTGAGGTGATTGACGGGGAGCTCATGTTGCGCAGCAAAGCAGAGTTGGCACAACGCTGACGATCCGATACTTTCTGAGATATTGTGGAGCTCAAGATGTCTGGAGAAGCTTTGAAAAGAAGAGTATGTGAAGTTTGAATGGCAGACGTCTTATATTAGGGGGCTCCCCAGCTTAAGAAGACCGGAAAATCCCAGCGAGCAACGTCGAATGTCAATGAGAACAAGAAAGAGTTAGCAGGACCTATCAATAGTTCCCAATTACAACCTACCCCGGATTGGCCCCATCGGTTCGGACACGCAATGCTCGGACACTAGACATGGCCTCGGGTATAGGATCAAGGTGATATGCCTGGTTTACCAAGCACTTCACATATGTTCCTAAGAAGGATTCTTTTCCGTCCCTCTAACCCCGCGAGAAGGCACACGGAGGGCTCCAATACCTTTCCTGCAACACTCTGACTTAGCACTGCAACTAGTCTGAATTTTCATATCGGAACTTGTTTGATGATAGCTTTCTCGCGTATGACATTGCCAGGTTGAAGATGAGCAACATTTAGCATCGAGCTCTTAGGCCAAACTCTGCCGTGAAAGTATTTCCTAGCCGTCGTGTGGGGTAAGAAGCTGAGGAAGGACAGGAACGTGGAAATTATGAGCTCCAGCTTTAAACTATGATCGCCTTATGGAAAGTCCCCATTCGGAAGATCTAGCCGGTAGGTGTGGGAATTGGCGGCTACACCCAGTCTCGGGTGACATGGGTCGGGTATGCCATTACTGACTCCGGCCGACAGGTCCGGTATTATCGACATCGAATGCAGACGACAGGTCCTCGACGTCTCTAGCAGTAATGGAATTCATGACTATTATGGACTCTTCGATAACAGTTTCGGGATGTTATACATTCGGGGTCCACGCCGGAAGCATCTTCACCTAGATGCTAGGGCCTATCTCATCATAAAGCACATCTCAAGCGGCACAAATACAAGTGCCTTGAACGAATGTTCTGCTCGTCAAATCCCCTTACAAATCAAACCGAGTCTTCAAAAGTCAAGATTGTATAGACACAATGCAAGACTCTGAACTCCAAGAGATATCGGCAGCTCTTCGCGCCGCCCGTATCAGCAAAGAGCCGATCGAACCCCCAACTAAGAAGTGGACAAGTCTCGATCCTGACAGCGCTTTTGAAGTCCAAAAGGTCACCGTCAAGAACGCTGTCAGTCAAGATGGCGATAGAATCGTCGGATATAAACTGGGCAACATCGCAAAGGTCATGCAAGACGCCTTTGGCCTAGACCAACCAGACTATGGCTTCCTCCTCGCGAGCACTTTCATCTTCGAGGGAACGACTCTGAGCCTCAAGGATTTCATCAAGCCTTACGTCGAGCTTGAGCCAGCTTTCGTTCTCAAAGGCCCTCTAAGAGGGCCAAATGTCACTGTTGCGGACGTCATCAACGCCATCGACTACGCCATCCCCGCGATAGAGATTATCGACTCCAGGGTTCGAGACTGGGCCATCGACCTCCCGGACACGCTGGCTGATAACGGATCAACCGGCGCCGTCATCCTAGGTGGCACACCTCGCCGACTTATCGATCTTACCTTGAACAACACTAGAGGTATGCTACGTTTCAATGATAAGGAGGTCATGTCGGGCAACACCAGAAACGTACTTGGTAATCCACTGTCCGCCGTGGCATGGCTAGCGAATAAACTTGCAGGATACGACGTTGGTTTCGATGCAGGGCAGGTTATCTTGCCTGGTAGCTGCCTACAGGCGGTGCCAATGCAGGAAGCCGGTCGCTGGTCTTGTACGTTTGAGGGATGGGGGACTGTCGAGTTTGATGTCGCTGAATAGCTGTCATCATGCTACATTGACAGCCAGACTTCAAGCGCATGAAGTCTGCCTGATGCATATTCGTAGAAATTTAAATGTAGTCATTTGATTAAAGCCAAGATACACGATGTCAAGATGGCGCATTAAGTTCACCTCGCACCAGAACGCCTGAGAAATTCGTCGCAGCGTGACCTGCTGGAAGACTCATCGTGAGGTCACCTGGCATGAGTTGGTAATGAACCTCCGGATACGAAAGACTCGCTCTCTGGAAAAAGTGGCGGTCGTCGAGGAACACAGAAGCATGGAGGTTTGTGGTCGAACTTAGACGTCGTCGTTCATACCCTGAAGTAGTTAGCAAAAAGAGAGGCAAACCTAAGATAGTGTCCAGATACGCTGTTCCGAATCCTGATAAGTCTCCCGACGCGCTGGAAGCTGAGCCGATCCCTGCTCCCGATCCCTGTAAACTAAGTAACTAGCTCAATGCTGGAAAACCAAGTCCAATCAATGACTGTCATCGCGATCGCATCCAAAGATAGCCCGCGGAGACCATGAATCTATCAGTCATTACAGCGTACTTCAGATCCAATTCGGTGAGTACTTGATGGAAGAGTTGGCAGAGGTGCTGGAGTCGAAGATAACCTACAAGATTAGCGACAGCTTCATAAGAATGATTAAAACTCGGCTCCATTCAGCACCTCTCCTGGCGCTGGCCCTGAGAGCCATCTCGTCACGAATGCAGACTAGTTCTTAGCCAAACAATATGTCGCGACATCGGATGATTGACGAGTCGTCCACCCTTAAACAGCCCCAGCCCCAGCCCCTCGCTGACTATGCGGTTGTGGTTTCTTGATCATGTCTCATGTCAATTCTGGCTGCATCCCTCGAGCTGCCACTTGTTAGCCGTAAATTCTGCTAACAGCTGGGCTTACTCACTAATACTGTCCTGATGACTTTGCGGGGTAAAATGCCTGTAACCCCCGCCTTCCGGCAAGCCCTGCCTGTCCAGTCCTAGCTTTTAGTCACACAACAGTACTAGACACTATCTGGTGTGTGGACGTCTGACGTTATTGACCTTGCTGTTATCTTGATTTTCGTGATACGTTCGATGCCTCGCAAGTAAAGTCGTTACCTTGTCTTGAGTTTTGACTCAATCCTCTCAATCTCTGCATCGAGACTCGCCCAATTTAGTGCTCTGGAAAATGTCGCCCGCAAGCAGAGCAATAAGAGATTCCGAAAGAAGGAGGCTAAGACGAACGACAAACGCGTAAATACCAATCTTTGCACTAAGGTTCTACTCGTGGAAGGAACCACTGACCATATGCTAGATGTATTAGCTGTCGACAAAGCAAGATCAAATGCTCCGGTGAGGAGCCGTGCGCGAATTGCCAACGGCGTTTGATGAAATGCGAGTACTCGGAAGGGACAAACATCACGGTGAATGCAGAGAGGTATGTGAAGAATTTCGAGATCTTACGACTAGAGATCTGATAAAGTCTCCAGAGCAAGTTCAGGGCGGCAAAGGCGTGGCTCAGAGCAACAATCGATACCAGGAAGCAAGCGTTCTCGCGGTGCGGCGTTTGGATCCGATGACGATGCTTGTAGTGAGTAAAGCAAAGCCCCTTTCCCAAGCTGCGACCATGAGCTAATTTGTGAGCCCCAGATTCTCAGTCGGTTGAGTATAGGTCATCTCAGTTGCATGACTATTCTGAGTGCGTGTACACAAGCCCTTTCACGTTGCCCTCTACGACTATCAAGAACACCCACAGGAACAAGCGCAATTGGAGTAAGTGAGCATTTGAGGTTGAGCAGGCGTTCAGACTGACAACACGTGCACCAATAGTTTGGCTGGCTCCATCATCAACATGGTCTTTCACAGCCCGTCTCACCCTAATGATGGCTGAGAGACTTCAGGTTGAAACCCCTTTCAGTGCCCCTAGCTTTCTCAATGACGAGATATACCCCTTGAGATGGAAAGCCTCAACGATAGATGGTCAACCAGACATTAGTGGACTTCCTTCCATTGACCATGCCATTTATCTCTTCAACACCGTAAAGTTTCATCTTGGCCAGAATTATCAACTCATTGACGAGACAAACTTCGTCAAGAATCTAGAAGAATTCTACTACGGCCTGGCTTCCAAAAAAGCAGCAGAGTCGCCTCTATGGTTCGTACAGTTCTTACTCGTCTTGTCCTTTGGGCAGGCCTTTCTTTCGAGGTCAAAAGACTCAAAGGAGCCGCCTGGCGCAAAATTCTTTGTTCGCGCCATGTCGTTACTACCAGATCCGAACTCTCTGTGGAAAGACAGTTTACTAGCCATTGAGGTGTTAGCTCTTGCAGGTCTCTATTTGTATTCAATTTACCAGAGGGAATCTGCTCAATTATATGTGAGTCTTCGTCCAGCCTTGTCATTGAGTCAATTGATTCAGGACTCATCTGATCCACTTGACAGATCGCTCAAGCGATTCGGATAGCTCAACTAGAGGGCTTGCATACCCAACTTCCTGAGGATGCACTCGGGACTCAAGCGGTTGCTCGTTGCCGCAATCTCTGGTGGACCTTATACATCATGGATCGACATTTCTCCTGCTCAGTCGGAGTCCCCATGAATGCTCAAGACGCAGACATAACTACTGTGCTTGACCCACCGAGTATATGCTCTCAGCGTGACGCAACGCTTGGCCTCCAAGTCAAACTCTCGCGTTTGCTATCATCAATTATCACTAGTCAGTCTCAGCTGTATCCCACAGAGATTCTTGCTGACCCTTCGACTTTAAAGCTATCTACAGATCCGAGAAGACTCCACTTGGAGAGTTTCTTACTTCGACGAAGTCCATCCTTCATACCTTAGCTGGTCACGCACAGGAGATTGAGAGGATAACTCGATTCAAGTTCCAAAACTCGGTGGATGCCATGCCAAAAGGAACAAGAAGCATTACCTTGCTATATCATCAGGTGAGTTGTGAGTTCATGCATTCAGTCATCTTACGACTGACAATAGTCTTCTTCAAGTGTGTTATCATGGCGACGAGGCCCCTTTTTCTATCCGCCTTGAAACAAGAGTTGGGGAAGTTTGAGTGGAGCGGAAGAGATCCACAAACCTTCTCACCTCCCTTGAAGACTCTGGTCGAGACGGGCATTAAATCAGCAGTGAAGACTCTTCAAATTCTGTCTGGGGATGATAGTCTTTTAGGTAAGTCCGGGCACAGTCTGACCGTTCCTGTGATACTTCAAGCGATTCTCACTGACCGCCAAACCACCAACAGAAGTATTTCTACCATTCGAGCTAGAGTATGCTTATGGAGCTGCTATACACTTGATTATGGCCAACGCACTCTTCCCAGCGGTAATAGGTGTCGATGGACCGGCTCAGATGGAACAGACACACATCATATTGGATGACATGGTTAGTAAAGGAAATTTGGTGGCTGAGGTTCGAAAGGCAGAGTTGGTTCATTTGGAGACTTTGTTTCGCGAATTCAGGCGGCGGGTACGTAACCAAGACTTTGAAGATGGTATCCCTTCAACTACTAGAAGACGTCAGTACATCCTTCTCCAGCCTTTCTCTCGTCTTTAGTCTTTCTTCCGTCCCTAGTCTTTCTCTAATTTCCGCTCTATCTCGAACTTTTAACAAGCGGATATGTGGGAAATAGAATTGGACATATGGGATTCGTTATTAACCTTCAGGAAAGCACGTACATATTTACTGACGCCATATAACAGCTAACGGGATACATTCGGATTCAATTGAAGCAATCACCGATCCCATCACAGCTCAAACTTTCGTCAATGAACCTGACTTGGTATCTACGACGACGCTGAGTGAGTCGCAGCCACTCGCGAGTGTGTTTTCGGATACACCAGATAACGCCGAGTTTCTTGAGACTATCGGTATCTCTTCGGATGATTTCCTTTCAATTGTGGAACAGATGGGGGATGAAGATGATCTCCCATTCTCAATGATGGACTTGGGACAATTTTGGAAGTAATCAGCGGCGCGCAGGAGACAGGAGATTCTAGGTTTGCTGGTGGATATCAAAACGGATCAGACTCTCTTGGACTAGTTTCTCAGTCTCATTGTATAATACATTATTAATTAATGCCGTACTCATCATTAAGAAGGCCCTTGATAGCTGTAAACTGATGTCTTCGACCATGCTTATTCGTATACGATGGTCAATTACCAGCCCGTGTGGTAGTATCCGTCCCAACTTTGATGATGCTGAACGTGGGGTTGTTGCATATTGACTGGCTGATACACAGGGCTGTGTTGGTATCCAGAGTTCTGCTGCCACATGGGCGTTTGTACCTGTCCAGGGGTCGCTGGTGAAGATAACGTTGTGGATACAGACATTGCTGACATGCTGGAGGCGTGCTTCATGTCGTACATTGAGCCTCTGTCGAGGAGCGGAACTCCCATGTTCTGATCAGGCTGCGTGACATGCGTCGCGTGGTAATCGGCAGGCATATGGCCTGACAGACCCTCCTCAAGTCCGACTAGTTCATCAATCAGTAACGTACGTAAAGAGCAGCTTTCTGTTGTAGACTTACAAATCAGTATATATAGCAGCTCAGCGATGACTGGTACCCAAGCTGCCAGGGCAAGAACTTGTCCAAACGTCCACTTGTCGTTCTTATCAATGCCATCAGCCGCATTGATGATCTTCTGGCGGAAGTGAGTAAAGTAGCCCAGTATGCCCCACATGACCAGCAGGTTGATCCAGGCGACCAACATTCGCCAGCAAGATCTCCATCTCTTGACCCAAGGCTTATCGATCATGCCGGGAATCTTGAATCCAGTAGTGACGAACAGCGTTAGGAGGAGCCATATCATCGGCAACGCAATAACCAAGAACTGCGTGGCTTTGACAACGGGCCAGTACTGCGAGCCACGTTGGTCACATTCAAAGTTCCTGTGTCCACTCTTTCGTTCTTTGTAGTCTATCTCCGCTCTCGGCGCCAGATAAACTACAGTCACGCTCAGACCCCAAAGGAGGGCAAGAACAGATCGGTGAAGCCACTTGCGATGGCCATCGTGCTTGGCTAGGGCGTAGAGTAACATGACCGGGAAGACAGAGTAGTTGGACGCGATTAGTGCCAAGGCTTGCTCGTAAATCGCATCCGCTGATGGGAGGTCAGGGTTCACCTCTGACCTCTCCTTGAAATTTGTTGCGGCCGAGTAGACGGAAGCTCCCAGCATGGCCACTGCGATCAGCATCGAGCCGCTGAGGAACATGTCGAGCGATCCGCGGAATGAGTCGAGAATGCGACCGCTCAGTCTTTGTTTTTGCTTCGGTCGTGTCTTCTCCCAGAGGTTCTTGTTGAAATGGCGTCGCACTTGGTGAATTGTGAATGCGATGAGGTACATCGTCGCTAAGATGGCTTCGAGGTAGTAGGATACCACCACCTTCACATTGTCAGCCAATAGATCTTTGCCCAGCATAGCGACTTCAGGTGTTTTGCACTTACTCCGATGCCGCAGAGATCTTGGCTTCCTGTATATCCGACGGCCTTGCAGAATTCGGCCTCACAATGCTCCTTTGGGCCCCATAGAACAGTTTCGTTGAATCGTGTACTGAAAAGGTAGTATGACGGATCGCTCGAGTTTTCCGGGTATGGTGTATGATACATATTGTAGGCGAACCAATATGATACCTCGGAGTAGGTAGTCTCGTATCCCTTCGGCATAGCTGTGGAATAAAGTGTCATTGACAGCTGTACACTCATTCCTCTAGTTGACTTTGGATCCCAAGGGTCAGGTTGAAGCATGGCAGCCAACCATTGACCCCAATTCGTGCAATTGCGGTTGAAGTCCAGTTGCTCCCAGGTCAGGTTCCCGGAGCCTTTGACCTCCGTACCCGGAACCCAAAGGTCCATGGTCTCGGGATCGTAAGAACTCATTGTCGAGTGGCTTTCACGCCTGTTCGAGGTATCTCTTCGCGGTATCTCTTCGCGGTAACTGAACGTAATATGCAAGAAACTGTGGATTCGAGTGGGGGACAAGCAGCCATCCATGGCGCGGGGCACAGAGACATTCTTAAGGCTGGCATGATCAGGATATTCAAATTGCTGCCCATCCCGGCGGCCACCATCTCCGTATAACAGCCGCACTCTTTCTTTATCGTGGGCGTCTGGGAATGGCTCTGAGAATGGGCCGGTTCGACGCAGCTGAGCGCCAGGGCTGACAGCTAAGACCAATAAGGAACGAATCATCGCGACTAAATTACTACGCGGGATGACTAGCGTAAGCCACCATCCCCAAAGCGACTTACGAGGTGCCACTCCTAGCACGTTGCCAATAAGGCTGGCCATTCACTGCATTCTCAGACCGCCATCTCGCTTGCGAAATCTCCGCTAACGGGGGTTGGGCAGGGAGCTGTGGGAGCTAGACGTTGGGGGCCGGGGGAAGTTTTGTTGTTGCCTACGGCTAGAGCTCGGTCTCTGATTCACAACCGCTCTTCGGGGTCGCTTATTGCGGTCGCAGTAGGCGGAGGAGAGTCTTACTTGCACGGCATGACATTTTTATTGGATTGGGCCGATATCTCTCTATCGATCGATAAGGGTCCCAATCTTCAGGCTAGCTGCGATGCTGTGTATGTACGTGTCTTTGCCAGTTGGATTTCCTCTTGATACCAACACCCTTCTCTTGCGAGTATTTGCATCCGGAGAACGGGCAGAAATAACCCTCCCCTTCCGAATGCTGCTCTTTGCAGTGTCGTTTGAGGTCTTTGCTGTATCGGAAAGCCCAAGAACAGTCTCCCACTCTACACTTGAACGGCTTCTTATGCTTGATCTTACAGCGACTGCGTAAAGGTCAGCAACTATGTTTCTACATGTCGGCAGTCTAGGAATGGCGTACTTCACCTCCCAAGGTCTTGCGTAAACACTTCCACACTCGTCACATCGTAGCTCGTTTGGCTGTGTGTCTCCAGTGCTCTGAACAGGGCTCGGGGCGATCTGTTCTGAGCCTGACTGGCTGCCATGCTCGTGATCTTCTTGGTTTTGTTGCAGTAGAGACGGGCTTGGGGCAGGTGCCCCATATTCCGGAGATGAACTTGGCTCATTGTTACTCTGCTCTCCATCCTGCTCAACAGGCTGAGGTAAACTTGACGATGTACCCCAGTCATATTCACCTAGTGGCCCGCCACTTCCGGTCTTTACCCACGATGGATCTACGGTCTCAAAGCGATGATGATAATGTTCTCTTGTTTGACCGGTCGAGCCTTGCGAGGTCGAACTAGATATGTAAACGGACTACCAAACGAGTGGAAGGAGTGTTGAGCCTGTTGAGAAAATCTGACGGCAAGAGCAGAGTTCTAATGGCCAAGAGGGGAGAGCTAGAAAGAGGGAAGAAACGGTCGGCGAAAAGTTGAAAAGAACGAGTGGCTTAGCACCACCGTGCCGGCCGTGACAGGAAGAAGCAGAAGAAAGGGAGTCGTCGAGGGAGGAAACTCCTTTTATGTTCAAGAGTGCGATCGGTATGCGGCAAGTGCTCAAGGGAATAGCAATTGAGTTTTGCCAGGCCATCCATGCAATTGGTTGCGAATAGCTGTAGGCCTCAACTCAAAATGCAGCAACATCTCTCATCGCTATGCAGTCCGAAGGTATGGATGGCACAGACTTTATCCGATGATAAGTGTTGAGGCAGGAAACATCAAGCTTTCCTAGCCCATAAGTTATGAGCTTGGTCTTACTTACCCTCTGACGACCTACTTTACCTAGTGAGCACCGCATTTAGCACAAGCTCGACTAGACAGTCAGAAGTAAAATGGCTGCTGTTTATGACAGGCCGAAACTCATATGCTTGTGTATTACTGTGAGTCGTGCAATTGCATACTTTCTTCTACTTGCTTCAGTATGTGTTGTGTTTCCACAGTTCGCGAGGGAAAAATGCCACCGGTAACATGATGCGGCTGTGAACCCGATAAACCTAGTGATGAAATTAGTGCACCACTAAGACCGGTGCCTGGTTTGCCAGCGCTTAACCTAACGTCGCTCGGCTATGCTAGTTAAGGACTAGAATCGTCCCTGAAAGTCTGAAGTAGGCCATGGGCTCGGCTGGTAGCACAACCGGCCGTTTTTGGGGCGAGTGTCCAGTAATGGTAGTGTGGGCATATTCTCAAGGCTGACTCGGACTATGGTTGAGTCGTTCAATGTAACCCAGCATGGCTTTCCGCCATGGCAGGAATGGAGCCATACTCTAACTCTAAAGGCATTTTGTGAAAAGAATGGCACGCGATGTGGCTGTTTCATTAGCCGGACGCTAAGTTATTTCCCGTCGCATCTTCGGTCAAGTTGAGACTACCTTGCACACATGGTCGAGATGAGAAACTCTCTACTCATAATGAGTACTTTTGCAGGCCGAATCTAGTAGGCAAACGTTGTCAATTATTCTTGATTATTACAGCTAGAATGATAACCTCTATCATGGCGAATATTGTATCGCCTAGGTAGAGCCAGCATCGAGGATGCTCCTCAGCGTGATACCAGCTTATTGAGAACTTTTCGAATATCCGAAGCCACATGTAGTGATAGTCAGTCCCGAAAACCGGCATTCAAACAGTGTAAGCTCGTAGGTCAGGCAAGAAATGATGGTCGATCAACTGAGATAGGCTAAAAGATGGGCCAAAAAATAGGCCGAGAAGAAATTCGCGATTGATGTCGGTTGAATGAAAGCGAGTATGTGATGAAATGACAAAGGTACGACTCTCTTCTTATAAAACAATTATTTTGGGTTGTATTAACAGCGAACAAAGAATAGTAACAACCTTTCTTCATGAGCTTTCTGTCTCTGAATAGACAGGTCTTGAAGGGCTGTGATCAGAGAGTATCATCAAAAATTCGTATGTCACAAAGCATTTGTCTGATGTCTTCAAATTATGTGTTTTACCAGGAATGCTGGTGTCACTCAGCTAATCTGGCTCGGGGATCTGAGAATGAATTCGACAATCTACATAATTCTGGCAGCTTCCTGCGTCAAATCTAACCTCCCATCAGACAGTTCCAACATCTCCTCCCTAAAGACGCTACTTCAAGCACCGTGACGTTCACTTAGAACCTACACTCTCTCAACTTTTGCATACATTCTCAAAATGGCGCCGCGTGCCGAAGACTCTTCATCTGCCGCCGGATACGCCGAGCGCGTCTTCCAACACCTGGAAGATAACCGCCCCTCTGACGCGCCTGCCAATTTCTCAGACCCCCACCAAGGGAAGTCCAAGGCAATCGAAAGATCGAAGACTGAGAAGCTCAAGGCTCAGTTGATTCAGCGTGGTAACGATGCCTCTGGTGAGTTCCAATCTCGTTCTAAATCTGGTAAGTTCCGCCTCCAACACGCGGGCTCCTTCGGCGACGGTCGTGTGAAGGAGCTCGTTGCCAACTACGAAGCTCGATCTCACCGTGCCGAGGAGACAGTTGAAGAATCTGTTCGACGCAAGCCCGTACTTGGAAAGGATACCGACGCCACAACTAGTAGCGAAAGTGAAGAGGACGAGAAGGATTGGATCAAGGTTGTAGATGCGGACTTAGATTGAATAGAAGGCTATCCTGATGCTTTTAGACAAGGGTGCAAGAATTTGAGCTTCTGGCGTTTTATTTATTTGGTTTTCAATCATTCTAAAATGTAGAGGGATTATTTTGTATTTATTTGAGAAACCATAAACTTAGTCAGTACTACGAAAGGCCAAAGATTCAAAGTGATCTCAATCTCTGAACAGCTGTTTTGAAATAGCCTTGCCTACCTACTCCTCCTAGGCTTTCCAGGACTTCTGGCCCATATGCACTACTCTAGTATGGCCCACTGTCGTCTCTGCAGAATATGTATCTCTTGGCTCCCAATCTGGGCATTATATATCAAGGGACCAGGCAGACAAGCAGAAAGCCGTGTAAGCATCTCCTTCTTCATATTCTGCAGCTAACCTCGAAGCAACCTGTTCTCTCCATCAAAAGAGCTGGAGGTACAGAGCATGTAAGTTATCTTCAGAAAGTGAGAGAATTAAGACATGCCGAGTTTCTAGGATATCTGAACATGATGTCAGAAGGATTGACTTGATCTTACGCATTGGCCTGGCGGCCCTGTGCTTGAGGCCCTTGGCTGACATTGATTTGAGACGACAAATCACAAAGGGCTTGTACTTTGTATTGTTATACATCAATGCTGCTCAAAGAACTACGGGACACAGTGCATGTCCCCTTGTCTGTTGTCTGTTGTATGCCCTTTTCTAGCATAGCTGCCTGTCTCATTTGCTGTCCTGAAGCTTCTTATGACTTCTTAGGGGCTCTTGAACTTAACTTGATTATCTACTTGGTACTATATAGAGCAACCTTCCACCCGAAACTTATTCGAGAATGTCGCATGGACTTGCAACTTCTGCAACACGCATTCCCCGATTTCGAGAACGTTGCCGCCCACAATGGTGCAGCCCAACAATGACGAAGACGACTACGTCTTTCCTGATCTTATCGAAGTTTCCAACGACGAACGCGATCATCCCCTAAGTGTCATCAATCATCCAGCATCCCCATTGTCCACAGGCTGGGCGATACTTGGGAACTCTGACAGCTCCTCCGATGCCACACATAAGCCCAAAGATGTGAAAGGCTCACCCGACCGGTCTCTCCCAGCTCTTTCCAACCGCACCTTGCCCCCTGAATTGGAGAACTGGCTGCGTCCCCCATTGTCTGCCACGATCCCAAGACCACGCCCTGCCCTCATGTTCCAGGAGGCACTCCATCAATCCAAGCCCGCGTCCTCAGCTTCCCAATCTTTCCACTCGGCGGCTCAGAAGCTGATTGACTGGGAAGGTCGCCTAGCTCGAACCTTTAGCGGCGAGAGCACGAACTTTCTAGAAGCCGGCTCCTCGCGAAGAACCCCTCAGCAAGATGGCTTGAATCCGACTGGAGATCTTCGTGAACAGGTTCTGCGCTCCAACCGTGTCTCCAAGCAGGGCAAAGCTTTGGCTAACGAGCAATACTATCGACAGCTTCTCCGATCCCGTTCCGTCCGATCTAACTACCGCGTGCGCGACCTCAGAGAACATGCCGGCAAGGTACCGGAGCCCGAATGGCGCTGGTGCGGCTTCCCGGGTTGCGACAATGGTGCCTGTCGATACGATTTCCTTCAGCCATGGGGGACCGGATACATCACAGCCCCTCTTGATTCAGGAAGAGACTGTGACATTCTGAAAGAACTTCTTGACGCCTTTGGTTCTCAGAAATGGAACTATATGGCGGAACCCCACAGCCGGGTCTCGTTTGCAACATCTCCTCCTGTCATGAGTGCCGTTGGCCAGTTTCTCATTCGCTTCAACCATCTGCACAGTGCCCCTACGGGATGGGATAGGGATGACTATCAAGCTGCAGTGATGTATTTCACCGACATGCGCACCAAGCACTTCTCCGTATTGCGTCCGCCCAATATCGAGAAGCTTCACAACGAGATGGATAGTGCAGTCTCGCGTTCGAACCCTGCTGTGCCTCCCTGGCGTCTCATTCTTCAGTTCATCATGCGGCTCGAGGCATGGAGACAGCATCAGATCAAGCAAGGATATCCATGGGACTGGCCTTTGCACGATGCTCTTGATATGTATCGAACCATTCTCGAGACCTATGGGCTATCCAACGACAAGGGGTTCTCGACTCTGAAGACCGCGGTACAGGCAGAGCAGGACAAGGCTTGGGTGCTCTGGTGGGATCGTCACCGTCCCTGGACTAGCTGTAAGGTTGCCTTTCTTTCTGCTCTCGAAGGTACTGACAAGATTAATAGAAATAGAAGCCTGGAAGTTGATTCTGAAGGACATGATATGTCTGCTATGGTGGTCTATGAAGGCGTGGGACAGTACAAGCCGCATTGGTGGCCAAATTGGTCAAGAGCGCCTGGTTTGGACGCATCTTTAGAGCCTTGAGATATACTTTGGGAGGGTGGACATTTTTTGATGTCCTCACTTTCGATAGACGCAGGCAGTGTTGTTTCTGGAACGCTCTGGCGGACGACAGAGTAGTGCTTTCGTATCAAGAGACAAACGAGTTTGTCAACACCCAACTTGCACCGTGATCATCAACAAGCTGTATAGATTTGTGATATTGCTTGCTTATGCCTTTGTCTATGCAACCTTCCTCTTGTTGCTTTCTATTGTCAGGATTCATACTGTTGACAAGTTGATTCTTTGTTAGGTGCCCTTCTTCTAGTAACGTAACATGGAGGAAGGTAGAAGGATGATGGAAATCTTCAAGACTTTAAAGATGGAAGCAGCAATTAAAGCAGCTCCTCCTCATTTACTTTGATCTTGGAATCTCCTGTAAGTGCCTTCCTTCACGGAGGTGGACCTGAAGTGACCCGCATCACAGGAGTCAAGCCGCACTTCCTCTCAGCCGCGGACCTTAGGGCATGCGACTTCTTCTTCTTCTTCTTCAAGAGGACGGGGCGAGGGATGGCTTGTAGACGAAATAGAGATCTCTTACTGCTGAAGAATCTAAACAAACCTTCCCTTGACAATATCCTCTTTTTCCTCAACATTGATGGAAAAGAGAAACTCCAAAAGTTGCAGCTCAACCATCACCTCAAACACCCAGCGAAGGCTCTCGTCTGAAGCAGAAGATCCGGAGAAAAGATCCCAAGATGGCGTCTTCCTGCCTCCAGGAATTTCCTCGCGCCTCAGGCTCAGGCGACAGCATCCCAGCAAGGAAGGAACCCGAATCATTCTGCTGCCAGCTCGCTACTTCCACTCCCATCACTCGCCCAGAAGAATTCGTCAATCTCCTCGACCTCATCGTCAATCAATCCAAGGGGAACCATCCTGCCGCTGGGTTCGTCTTCGCATTTCTCAACTTCTCGAAGAGCAACTGCCTGTTTCCCCTGGCCTGCCTCGTCCACTTCTTTGAGGTATTCCTCCCTCAACCCATCATCACTTACCTCACGAGCGATTCTTGCCTCAGTGCCGCAAAGAGCATTAATACCATTCTCATGGAGGCTGAGGTGTCAGAGCAGGGCCTCTACAAGAATGCGAAGCGTAGCTGCTTCCCATCCACCGGCCGAAATCATTTCCTCCGCCTGATGAACGCGTCTGGACCTACCGTATGTCATCTCTTCCCATCTCAACATCTCATTTCCTGTTCATCAGACTAATCTTCGTCGCAGCCCAAGGGTGAAAAGAGCGCAGCCGGTGCCATTCGCAGAGGCCTTCCCGAACTTGACTACATTCTCTTCCAAGAAGATCTTCCTTCCTATTTCGAGCGTTCCAAGCGTTACGACAGCTTGCCCGGCAACCCGGTCAACTATCTCTTCTCAGCTCTGCCGCAAATCCAGGAAGATGACGCAGGCTTCAAGGGAAGCAACAAGTCTGCAGATTACAATCGTCGGTTCGCCCTTGCCCTCTGGCCCTATGCCAACTCCAGCATCGAGGATATCATCGCCAAGTCTGAGGACAAGGCTGCCTCTGACTTGTGGTGGGCCGCGCGTTTCGCCTTCTCTCTTTGGGATAAGTCCGACTTGTCTATCCGGTGCTCCTTCACCCAGCTTCTTGGCGAAATCGCTTTGTACCACAACTCTGAGATTGTCGACAATCCTGCCCCTGTCAAGCCAAACCACCTTTGCGAAGCTGTCGATGGAGGTCCCTGTCCCGGAGAGGGATACGTTCAGAAGCACAAGTGGCTAAAGTATGCGCGCTGGATTCATCGTGGAAGAAAGGACGAGGATGCCGACATCAAGGTCCGTCTAGGAGGCAAGTGTGACTTGAAAGAGCTCTTGAGCATCGAGAAATGTGTCACCTGCGGTCACGAGCGCCAGATCTCTCGCTGTGGCGCGAAGAAGCCTATGCACCACTGCAGCGGCTGCTACGTTGAGTGGTTTCCGCACCTTCGCCGAACTTACTGCGGCCCGAAGTGCCAGAAGAAGGACTGGAAGACGCACATTGAGGAGTGTCAGCGTCACAAGCACTTCATCCGAGCTGTCTGGATTCTAAAGGGCATCGCGGACAAGTTCATGGCTGCGACGTTCTCGGGTCAGGCCGTTGATATCTCCCCGATCGAGGTCCGTGATAACAAGACCAAGGCGCTCGACCTCAACGGCGTCTCTCGCTTCGCCGTCACCCCGGCTGCGTGTGCTGTTGGACCCTGGGTGGGTGAGCAGGTGTTCCCTCTCGGCAAGTCGTACTTGGCGGACAAGAGCCACGAGGACCGCGCGAGAGCGCTGGCTTGGGATGCCGGCGACAATCTCTACTACCACCTTCAGGCCATCGTTCGTCAAATCATTACCCGTAAGTATCACTCTCCAGCTCTATACCCTCATAATGCCATTTTCTCCCGTTCGTCTGTTTCGCGAGACGTAAAATAAGATGAACTAACCGATGGCGATAGCGCTCTGTGATGACGTGGTTGAGATGCAGATGTTTCTACGCAATGCCAACAGCATCACCTCTCTTGCCGCTGATCGATGCCGCGAAGGCCCCGCCATCCACACTTCCAAGGGCAAGGACCCGATGTTCTGGCCTCATCCCGTTCTCAATTGCCGACTCAAGGGAAGTGACGACTTGTTCATTATCGACCTTCTTGGTGCCAAGTTCGGCTTCAACGAGATCCTCCTCCCGGGCGAGGTATGGGTCAAGTCAAGGTACTCCTCCAGATTAGACACGATCCCAGTGGTAAAGATGAAGCTGACTTGGAAATATTACAGACTTGCGTACTGCGTTGGCTCGACGGTTCTCACGAACATGACGCCTCACTGGTTTCCCCGCGAGCAGCAAGGTCTCGTTTCGTGCCGTGACGAGGTTGCCTACACTTGGAGATCATGCATCAAGACATACATCGCCGCCAAGTGGCCCAACGTCCCCGGGCCCTTTGCCTTGTCGCATCTCAAGGAGCAGTTGTTCAGGGAGAGGACTTACATGTTCATGGTCCACTCGGACGACATCTTGAGGGAGGCCACCAACCGTCTGCGCGAGGAGCGACTCTTCCGGCAGTACCTTGTCCATGACCCAAATCCGTACTCTCACGAGTTTACCATTGGTGTCACCAATTGTCAGAAGGAGTGCGATGTCTACGAGAAGATCTGGATGGATCGGCGCGTATTCGACGTCATCGTCAAGGATGAGCTCAGCGAGCAAAACCAGCTGCTACCCGCGGGGTCCGAGACCATCCGCCTCATCGCACTTTGGGTCGACCGCTTAATCAAGCACGGTCAGAAGGTCAAGTTTGACTCAGTCGGGCTCCTTGGCCCTCGCATGGCCAAGCACTATAACATCTGCACCACGCACTCGTTGGACGAGCTTCGCGAGATTTCCATGCCCTGGCTCCTGTGGCATGGCATCTCCAAGGACTCATCCCAAAAGTTCTTCGAGCAGTGCAAGGGCATCGTCACCGACTACATCAATTCGAGTGCGGCGACGCCTGATCAGCTACTTAGTAAAATGACGTCGTCCGACGGCCTCGCCAAGTACCTGCAGACCTTGTCAATGGAGGATGCGCAAGAATTCTTGGAGATCGGATCAATGATCAAGTCTCCTCATAACTCTGCATCAATCAAGCAGCTGCGAAAGGAGCTTGAGGAGCGGGCCGATGAGAGAAAGTGAGGCAGGGCGTGAGATGAACCATGTTGGTTCCTTTCTAGTACCCGAGACACCGTCCCCCCCACTATGGTATAACAGGGGACGGCGCTTAGAAAGGATACTTGACTTAGGAAGGAAGGTGTCTTTCTTGTGACTTTGCAGAATACCCTTAAGTTTGGGAAACGGAAATGGAAAAGTAGACGTTTGAATTCCCGTGTGTTGAGGAATTGATGTGAGGTGAAGCGTCGTCAAGTGAATCGACGTGATTGGCCAATGAGTGCTGACCGTCGATGTCGTGCACGGGCCATTTGAAATTTGTCCGACTGGCGATTGAAGCTCGGGAGCTCGAGCAACTTTTTCCCATCACCAGGTGCACCCCATCACGCCGGCAGGACAGACATTCCCTGCTCTCCAGACACGTACGGCAACCCTTCAGGCAAACATTGCAGACTTGCTACTTGACCCGAGACTGACGAGCTTTCTCAGGATGCCACCGAGGTTACCACAACAGGCCGCGCGCGCCCTGCGCAGGCTGGCGACGACTTCAACCCCCATCACACGATCCTTCACCACCACGACCTCCTTCCTCGCCGCCCCAGCCGCCGCAAGCCTCCGTCTTCCCGCCGACTATGTTCCCGCGACGAAGCCCCCTTCCGCCCGTCCCCCCGAAACCCGCAAGTCCCAGCTCATCAGGACCTACACTTCCCTCCTCCGCACGACGCCCCTGATACTCTTCTTCCAGCACAGCAACCTGACGGCAGACGAGTGGTCCGCCGTCCGCCGCGAGCTTAACAGCGCTCTCGTCGCCGCCACGCCCGCGGGCACCAACAGCCCCCTCGACGGCCGCGAGGTCCACCTCCAGGTTCTGCGCACGCGCATGTTCAACGTCGCGCTCAAGCTGGCCGAGTTCTACGACCCCGAGGTCGCCAAGGCCAAGGCCGGCACGCGGACGGGGCCCCGCGGCCCCCTGGTACACGATCTGAGTATGGCGGCCTACGAGGCGATGAAGGATTTCGAGGTCCCCGAAGACTCGGCCTACGCGCAGATCTCGCCGTTACTGTGCGGTCCCACGGCGGCGCTGGTCTTCCCCGCCGTCTCGCCCGCACACCTCGCGGCCGCGCTCAAGATCCTGGCGCCGGGCCCGGGCAAGTTTGCGGCGCCGCCGCGGAAGAAGAACCCGGGGTACTACGAGCCCCTGTGCCAGAGCGCGCTGCAGAAGCTACTGCTCGTCGGTGGACGTGTCGAGGGTGACGTGTTTGACGTTGATGGCGTCAAGTGGGTTGGCGGTATCGAGGGCGGTCTCGACGGGCTGCGGGCGCAGCTTGTGCATATGCTCCAGAGCGCTGGGTTGGGTCTTACTACTGCTCTTGAGGGCGGAAGCAAGAGCCTTTGGTTGGCGTTGGAGGGACGGAGGACGCAGTTGGAGGACGAGGGGAAGCCTAAGGAGAGCGAGGGCGCAGAAGCGGCAAAGTCTGAGTAGAGAGTTGCTCGGGAGTATGGTGTATGATAGTGCTGTAAAAGTCTGTATTATCACGGGATACGGATCTCTACTATAGAGCTAAACTATTTGTTCATGGCATTTGAAGTTGGGCATGACTATATTTAGCAGAGTTCTATGTGAACTACTGCAAAGTCGACATTCATGGCGTTGAAGCGGATTGCCCTTCGTTGTTCCCTTCATCATCAATGATAATTATGCCGTTTATCTAACGGATACCGATGAAGCCTAGACGAATCGCCGCACATAACCGTTCAAAACGGGGGAGGCGATGTTAACGATATTTAGCAAGCTTCCTCGACACATTTTGAGGCAACATCGCCCTATTGAGTCATGGAACTGATCATAACATATTACAGTAGCACGTTCTGCATCAAATAATATTCGAGGCTAACAAACACTTACAGTTCGTCTCAGCCGCCTCAATTAAAGGCGAGTTTGACAAGAGACGAAAGAGTGAGGTGGACAGTTCAACCTGGTCGGGCCGGCAAAAGGCGGGGCGGGAGCCACTAACAACGACCGCTGCAGGTGACCTGCATGAACGCGCCGCCGAACCGGAAAAAGACCCCTAATTAAGCCTGGAGCGCGAGTTCCAGGTGTGCTCCAGCTGCCTCCACGCAGTACCTGACGCCATGGCGTTGCGCGTTTCTGAGCTTCCAAAAGTCCCCAAGCTGACGTACCTCGAATCTCGAACTTCGACAGCTCACCACCTCTGATGAACAACACCACGACAACATCAGCGTAGACTTTGTCTCGAGAACCCCGCAACCACCAGGTACAACATCGAAGCCTATGCTCCGGACCTCTACCTAGCCCTGCGAAACCCCGCGATCTCCTTCCAGCTCCCATACCACAACAACACACCAGAACAAAAGAACACCATGGACTTTGCTCCCTACCAATCCTCCCCGCCGGAGCGCGAACGAGCCCTCTCCCCGCCCCTCGCGTCGCCGCGCGCCTCGGCCGACATTCGAAGACCCTTTTCGCCGTACGGCCAGCCGTCACCCCCGCCCTTGCAACACCCGCAGCCGCAGCGCGGCTGGCAACCGAACCTGCCAGGGTCCTACCCCACGGCGGACGCACACCGGGAGGGCGTGAGCGAGTTCGATACGAGTCTGGGGATCAGACTGGACTACGAGGCTGCGCTGGCGTATTTGGCGTTTCCGCCGCTGGGTGCGATATTGTTGTTGATTGGGGAGCGGAATAGTGATTATGTGAGGTACGTTGGAAGTTGTTTTGGGAAGCTTCGAAGCTCTGGCAACAATAAGAGAGTCTTTCCGCGAGCGAGACATCTCGCAGGGCATTCGCAGTCAAAGTCCAGCTTCACAACGGGTTACTGACATCGAGCAGGTTTCACGCATGGCAGTCGGCGCTGCTGTTCACGGCCGTCATGATCTTCCACCTGGTGTTCCTCTCATGGTCCAAGTTCCTGAGCTGGTTCTTCTTCATCGGCGACCTGTTTGTCATGGTGTGGCTGGCGTTGAAGGCGTACCAAGATGCGGATACGCTAGATAGGTATGTTTTGTTGGTGGAGCGGAGAATGAGCCCGTTGCTAGGGGACATTGCGCTGACCATGTGTACTAGATTCGAGGTTCCCGTACTTGGCGCGCTGGCCAGCCGGATCCTTGATGACGAATGAAATTTGATGACTCGACGAGAAGCCTGGGGGGAAAGCAATTACTGTGTGTTGTAAGATGGCGAGGGAAGTGCCTTGATGACTTGTTGTGCATATCATATACCCTTTTAATCAGGAGAGAGAGAAGCATCTCGACCTAGGCCAGGCTGGGCTTTTAGTCTCATAGATGTACCACATTGTCTGTATGGATTATAAAAGACTCAAGTTCAAAGTGTCATGCAAAGATATTAAAAAACTGAGTAAGTAAGGTGATTCCGATAAAATAATCTCCCGTAGATGGGGGTGAGCTCAGTGACAAGGTACAGTGTTCGGGTATGTCACAGCACAGTACGATACACTGTAGCCGGATCCGGTCGGACTTTCCTCCTAGCGCTTTCCGGCCTAGCCACTGGACGCACAGGGCAACACCAGGCTGATTACGCGACTGTTGCTTGCCTTGAGGTCCAGCTCGAGCCTCACTGCCCAGTACCTCACCCACGCAGCTCCGAAGCTGTCCCTTTCTGCTCCATCACAAACCCACGACGACACACCGGTATCGACCCGACCCGACCCCATCACCAATCCTCCTCACGCTTTGACGATAGAAACGGCGAATTGTATCTTTGACGAACATCTACCTTTAATATCCCCCTCCCGTCCCCCACACACACCCCGCCACCATGTCGACCCTCGAAGAGCTCGACGACCTCGATCGTCAGGACAAGAACGACAAGAGAGATGAGGGCGACAAGGACAAGAAGGACAAGAAGCCCACCAACGATGGTGATGCCGAAATGGAGGATGCCGAGAAGGAGGAAGACATCCTTGACGACGAGATCCTGAACCTTAGCACGCAGGACATCCAGACACGCAAACGGCTGCTCGAGAACGACTCTAGAATCATGCGCAGCGAGCTGCAACGGTTGACGCATGAGAAGGCGACTATGGGGGAGAAGATCAAGGAGAACCTCGATAAGATTGCTAACAATCGGTATGCTACTTGCTTCCCTCCCTCTCCCCCGACGGATGATGACGAAATGGACAACTGATATATTTCACCTTACAGGCAATTACCCTACCTTGTGGGCAACGTCGTTGAACTCCTCGATCTCGACCCTACTGCCGAGTCATTGGAGGAGGGCGCCAACATCGATCTGGATGCCACCCGCGTGGGCAAGTCCGCAGTCATCAAGACATCTACAAGACAAACCATCTTCCTCCCGTTGATCGGTCTGGTCGACCCCACCACCCTGAAGCCTGGCGATCTTATTGGTGTCAATAAGGACTCCTATCTCATTCTCGACACGCTTCCGGCCGAGTACGACAGCAGAGTCAAGGCCATGGAGGTCGATGAGAAGCCGACAGAGAAGTACACGGACGTTGGTGGTCTCGACAAGCAAATCGAGGAGCTTGTCGAGGCCATCGTCTGGCCCATGAAGGAGGCGGAGCGGTTCAAGAAGATTGGCATCAAGGCGCCAAAGGGTATGTTTCGATACCAGCAGCACCTTAGGCGAGATACTGACCATACCTATAGGTGCCCTGATGTACGGCCCCCCCGGTACCGGAAAAACGCTGCTGGCCCGAGCCTGCGCAGCACAAACCGACGCTACATTCCTCAAGCTTGCCGGTCCTCAGTTGGTCCAGATGTTCATTGGAGATGGTGCCAAGCTTGTGCGCGACTGCTTCGCCCTGGCAAAGGAGAAGGCCCCCGCGATTATCTTCATTGACGAGTTGGATGCCGTCGGTACGAAGCGTTTCGACAGCGAGAAGAGCGGTGACAGAGAAGTGCAGCGAACTATGCTGGAGCTTCTGAACCAGCTTGATGGTTTCGCATCAGACGACCGCATCAAGGTGCTGGCCGCTACCAACCGTGTGGACGTCCTGGATCCTGCGCTGCTTCGTTCAGGCCGTCTCGACCGAAAGATCGAGTTCCCCTTGCCGAACGAGGAAGCGCGTGCGCAGATTCTTAAGATTCACTCTCGCAAGATGAGGGTCGACCCCGCCGTCAACTGGGGTGAGCTGGCCCGCAGCACGGATGAGTTTGGTGGTGCCATGCTCAAGGCCGTCTGTGTGGAGGCCGGTATGATTGCTCTGCGTATGGGCAAGAACAAGATTAGCCACGAGCATTACGTGGATGCCATTGCCGAGGTGCAAGCCAAGAAGAAGGACGTGAGTGTTGAGACCTGCTGCTCCCGGATTGTTGTATGCATACTGACTCTTTGCAGACGGTCAACTTCTACGCTTAATCCATTCACGTGCTGGGTGATGCCGCTGGGTATCTGGGGTTATTGCTTCTGGCGGGAACGGGAATGCATAGAGGAGTCGAATGCGATAGACAACAACTTTGTACGATTACCACGGACACTCAAGCGGCCCTATAGGAATGGAAAGCAGGGTGATTGTGATCCCAGCAAGCAGTTTCATTGCGCGTGGTGTTCATACTCGCCATGATCGGATGTGCCTTCTGTGAATTCGATGATTGAACATGGGAAAGTGAGAGGCCTCTTGCCAAGTGGCAAATTCGACGAGGGGAACAAGGGGGAGAAGCTATCCACATTTGGAGACGATGAACTATCCTGACACCCTGACTGAAGCCTACGATAGTTATCAACGATCGACACTCGTGAGGCGACAATCAGATACGCGTTTAGCTTCATGGTCTCTCCCAAATGGATCGGCAAGCTGTCAGGAACACCTCGCAAGATATCGAAACTAAGGCTACTGCAGGTTGTAGGACCTTGTCGAGCTGAGGCCGATCTCTTTTGCGAGGCCAGCACAGGCACAGGGTTGAAGGCGAGCAGGCGTCCGAGATATGGTTGCAGGTATGCATGCTCTTCACAAGTTACGATCCTCCCCTGGCAAGCACTATGATGTGGCTGCTTACGTAGTTGCCCTCCGTTCGTCGTTTCTGGGATCCATGTTCTTTGGAGTGCTTGGGACGAACAGCCAATGATGGGGGTCAATGGCATTGATGAGGAGGAATTGGGAACTTGTGGGAGGGTGTTGCGAGCACGGCCATCGTAGCCGAGTATCTTGAGCATCGCGTATAGGAGAGTCAATGGGCTGCTATATCGTGTGGCGTTGTATACCTACCTCAGCATCGCAGTACGTTAGCTAAGTAACCCCTAGGCCTCTTCCGTGAGCCGTCTTTGGAGTATCATTGGCGGCGCATAATTTGGGGCTTTCATTACCTTTACTCTCTACATACTGTAAAGGCTAGGTGCACAATGCACACTGCAGAAAGACAGGAGATTTGAACCGTTCCCTGTAGGGTTGCCAGACCTTGGTTTTCTCTCCGAAGAGGGCTGATCCCTACCTGGTTTGGGGTCGCTTCGAGGTTCTGGGGGGGCGGTTCACTGGTGGACAGGGGATCTCAAGATGGAAGTCAAGTCCTAGCGCCCTCCCCTTTTCGTGGCTTTTTTTTTTCTTTCCCTTTTCTATTGTCATTCCTCTTTGCTCAGCAATGGTGACCGTGGTGACGACGATGCGTAGATTTGCTGTGGAAGTGGTATGAGGGCGTTGATGGTGAGGATATGGGGTGACATCGTGGGAGGCGAGTTTCTGGCGATGCCCACTCATCATCACCCAGTGTTTTTCTTTCCTTGGTGACGAAGTCTGTTCAAGTCGAAGTAGACGACAAAACCGGCAAACTGCTTTGGCTATGTTTGCGGATGATGCAGGTTCAGAGTTCTAGTCTGCAGCTTTTTCGGAACCCTTTTTTTTTCTCTTTCGTTATTCTCCTTCCACGCCTTCCTAAATTGCTTCCTGCATTCACTGAATCGGTGCTGTGTATCTGGGTGTCATGGTCTCATGTTAATGACACCGTACCGTTGCGGCGGGCGTGGAGATGGGAAAAAAGAGAGGTGTTGCTGGTGTGCCCAGGTGTGCCAGTTTGTTACCGAGAGTTCGGACCATGGCCGGGGTGGATTGGAAGGGGGCGAGACCGATGACGCCACCGCGGCTGAAGGGGCGGAAAGCTGGCGGAGAGTGGAAGTTTGGGCAGATGGGAGAGTAGGTAAGAAGCTTACTCTCCCCTCCCCCCCTTTCCCCCTTGCGCCGTTTCTTACTACTGTATTCTAAGCTGCTCGATGCATTGCGTGATGGCCAAAAGTTGGCGGTAAGCCTTACAAGGTGAGACATGAGCTTTCGGCCCCCGACCTGGGGGAGAAGCCGCCGGCGGGAGGTTTAGAGGGAAAGTATCGCGGCCGGCCCCATCTGCCGCCCGGGGCTCCACGTCCGACTTCACTACGTACCTTGGGTACCTGAGTACCTTGGTACCGGGCCAGACATCAGTATGGAGTCTATGGACGAAAAGCCTGGCGGCTAAATTTCTAAATCTCTTGTTGATCGTCATAAATCATGCATTTTCTTCCCTGTTACGAGCGAGTAGTCGCTGCCGTTCATCTCGTCTTTTCCATCGCAGCTAGTGGTTTATTCCCAGTTGTCCCCATTTCATTGGACTCACAAGAGGCACCCGACACTTTCATCTATTGTTAGAACGCTTGACACGTTTTTGGCAGTCCTCTAAACAGGTCAAGATTTACCCATTGTCCAGCTGCACAGGGGAAAAGACGAGGATGCAAGATGCAGCATGTTCCTAAAAGAAAGAAGCAGCTAGTCGTGGCGTCGATGCTGATCTTCTCAGCCACGCTTGTCCTGCCGTTTGACACGAGGAGATCGTCGGCCGTTGGAAAGAAAGTAAAGAGCAGCACACAGCCAGTTGGAGGCAAAAAAAAAAGAAAAAAAGTAGTTCTTTTACTGCCCAACTCCTCAACGGTCAAGGCCGAAGCAGCATAGGGACTAAAGTTACTAGTCATCAATGGGCAGCCAGCATACGCCGAAATGACGCTCTTTTCCCCCTTCCAGAAAACCAATCATGGATGGCAGACTTCTTTCCAGGGAGTGGGTGTCACGGTGGTGTATTGTTGTGTGTGTGGTGTGAATACCGGCAGTTAAGATGCAGGGGAGCGGCACATATAGGTCGTCCTCCTCCCCGCTTTCCTCCAAGTGATGGGCTGCCCCGG